CCGCTCGAGCTTGCGGAGGAGGACGGGTCCGATTCTTGTCCGGCAGTCTTGATGAGGTCGTTTACCATGCCCTTCATAGCCACGAGCTGTTTGTAGGTTCCACGCTCGACGATCTCGCCGTTCCTGATCATGGTGATGTAACTAGCCTGTCCGAGCACGGCAATGGCGTTGGTCGCAAGGATTCGGGTCTTGGTGCTCAGCAGACCTCTAGGGCCCAGGACGTTCTCGATGATGTGTCGTCCCACGTGGGAGTCGACGGCCGAAAGGACGTCGTCCAAGAGGTAGATGTCCGCCCTGGCATAGACGGCGCGGGCCAGGGCCACACGCGCCTTCTGGCCACCACTCAAGGAGATACCCCTTTCGCCTACAACGGTCTCGTCGCCGTCGGGGAGTTGAGCAAAGTCATCGAGGAGAGCGCAAGCCCTGACAGTCTTTTCGTAGAAATCGGGATCATATCGGTAGCCGAAAATGATGTTCTCCTTGACCGTGGCGTTCAAGATCCAGGAGCCCTGAGCGACATAGGCCGTAGTTCCATGGACTTCCACCAATCCCTTGACTTTCCAGAGATCGCCCAGAATGCACTGCAAGAAGGAAGACTTGCCAGCGCCAACACGACCGACAATGCAAGACAACTCTCCCTTGTAGGCAGTGAAATCAATGTCCCTGAGGGCCTCTTTGTCCTCGTGGCGATTCCAGGAGAATGATCCATCTCGGATAATGACGGTCTCCTCTCCAATCTCCTCGGGCGCCGGCTTGATCGTGATTGCATCGGGTTGGATCTCCTCGGCAGTCAGGAAGGAAGTCAAGCGACCAACGGCGACGCTAGCCTCAACGATAGAGGTGATGACCATGGGGAGAACAGCCAGGGGGAACGTAAGCAAGTTGAAGAGGGCTGGGGGATTGATTGTCAGCACTTGGCACCGTCACAGGCGCGCCGAGAGAACTTACTGAGGGCGGGGAAAACGATATCTGCCGTCAACGGCTTGTCCTGCGTCAAGACAAACACAGCAAAAGTCGAACAAGAGACGAAGAAAGGCGCGGTGCTCCACGTGAAGTTGGCAAAGGCCTGTGTCGCTCCAATCTTGCGCAGGTTCTTGAGTTCGAGGTCATTGCGGACAAAGTTAAGCTTGTTCATGAAAGCAGCGCCCCAGGCATAGAGCTTGATGCTCTTCATGTTGTTGATGATCTCGTTGATCAGACGGCTCCTCTTATCCTTGTTTTTCATCTGTTCCTTCTGTAGGTTCCTCATGACCCTGGCAATGAAACCATGCGCAGGCATCATGATGATCATAACGCCGATGCCAGCAAGCATGGACCAGCCGACCAGTTGGTGGAGAGATACCATGCAGATTATGATCTGGAAAGGGGCAGACCACGCTTGCTGGGCAAACTGGGTCAGGTCCTGCAGACGCTGCGCGTCAACGGCCATGTAGTTCACGATATCGCCAGTTGACTTGGAAGCGCGGCCCTCGTTGGACAACCTCATGGACTTTTTGTAAATGGCGGACGCCAAGCCGCCCTTGATACGCATGCCGGTGACGAAAGCAAGCTGGAAATATTGATGCTGCCAAGGGTTAGTGGGGCTGACGTTGGGCGACTTCTTGCGAGGCTGGACTCACAATCATGGAGGTCTGCAAGACGGCAATCGCGAACATGGCCAAGGCAATGGCAGCGCCCTGAACTGCAGGCTGAGACTCCTCGTCATGTAGGTTCCGGGAGCGCACGAAAGCAATGAGGTACTTAAGAAGCTGTGGCTGGATGTACTGGGTGACGTCATTGACGATTTTGAAGAGCGCGGCTATCGCATAAGGGCCACCATAGGCACGGAACATGGCGAGCCACAAAGACGGGTTCTTGTGGTGCTTCAGCTCGTACTCCCAGGCTTGGTTGAAGGCCTCCCCAGTGTTCTTGGTCTGGTCCTTCTTGGCAAGCCCCCAAAGGTCATCTTCGGTCAGATACTGCTTGTATCCGTAGCGCATCAGAGGAGTCATCCACGAGAAGGTTAACAAGGAAAACACGGTGGCGTATTCAATCGGACATTCTTCCTCGTCGATCAAAGCCTCGTATGCGCTAACCTTCCTCGGCCACAGCCACTCGATCAAAAACTCGGCGATGGACAAGCCGAAGCCGACGCTGTAAGTGATGAAGTATGCCCGGTTCGTGTCGTAAAGTTGCTGCGAGATCAGAGAGCGGAACTTGACGGCGTAGGCGATCAGGAGGAAGAGCCAGTAGAACAAGACAACGCCGTTGGCGTTGCGCAGTCGGGAGTGCTCAATCCATTGGATGGCAAAAACAACGCCAAGAGAGAGGATGGTGGCCGCGGTCGTCCAGAACCTGAAGTCGCCGAACCAGATACCAGGGTAGTTATTTATCTGTATAGCAAGCTGCACTGCGACATCGGCGATGATGAGCCCGAGAAGCGTCTGCAGAGGCGGCTCGTCAGACCACAACTGTGACGAGGGAGACGGCAGATCGGGGGACACTCACTTGCTTAACCCAAAAGTGCCAGTCCTTGGGAGCGTCTGTGGGCTTCTTGTGTTGGAGGAGCCAAGCTATCGCGAAAGATCCGAAGACAACGCCAAAGAAGGCCACGGAAGCTACCCAAACATCGATAAAGCAAGGTGTGAAGTCATAGCGGATGGGACTCAATGGGCCCCAACCCTCCTCGTTACCGCATAGCGGCTGCTTGTAGTCCGCGGTCGCAGAAAGGTAATTGCTGCCGAGCTGCCCCAGGCGGTGGAACCCTGTGAAGGATCCCGTATGCAAGACGCGCTGCGACGAGTGGTCGGAATAGTCCATGACGAATTGCTATCTGCGGTTCCCCAAGCCCGCCTGTCAATGCATGCTAGACAGCAGAACGACTACTCTCGGGCGGGGATGTTCTCGGTGGTGGTGGTGGGGGGGATGTCGCTCGGGAGTGTGGTCTTCGGTAGGTTATGACGGTCGGCCTGTATATGCGAGGTATAGATATTGCAAAGAAAAGGACGCCGCGACACGGAGGGAGACTCAATCGTAGTTATCGTAGTAGGAGAGGTGGGAAAAAAGTTTTGAGAGAGAGTCGACCGGTCGGAGCAGAGTGCATGCGATGCTCCGCGAAATGGATGGCAGAACGGTGTATTGCTGCTATTGGTGGCTGCACGGTTTGTCAGCTTCGACGGTACGGTGTGGGAAACGACGTTCGATCGGGTTCGCCCCGGGGACCACGCTGCAGCCAACTGCAAGCTGCTGCAGCCTCCTGCAGGCAGCGACGAGTGACCCAACCACAGGGCTCACCGTGGTTTAGCTCTCGGTAAAAGTGGAGAGCTATGACGACCTGCATTGGCTAGTGCCGCATTCGGCATTTTTTCTTCTAGCGCATTATAAATCCGCTAAGTCCGACACGTGCACTAGGTATCTACCTATCTATCTACCTATACGGAGTATTCCCTGCAGATATTGTTTGCACTGGAAACGATGGTTCCGCGCGTGTCAGCGTCTTACATCTCAGATGAGACATTGGGTGGTATCCCAAACCCTGACTATCCTTCCATCTTTGCCGCGTACCCTTGTGAGCCTGAGTCGTCGTTGACCAAGGCACTTTGTTAGTAATTGTGTATAATGGCAAATGCACGCACCTTTTCTTCACAATGTGGTTGAGGCGGCCACTTGACAATTAAATTGAGATACGGCTCGGGCAGCACCATGGTCCGGTCTCTTGTCTCCAACAGCTTATCAAACATCCATCTGAGTCTCTGAAGATCCAAACCTGAGACAAGAAACACAACGAGGGGTGTGTGCATCCCCCCCCGGATGCAACATTGCTTCTTTGGATTGTACATTGTACATTCCATTTAAGCTTTCGTGAAACCCCTTTTGTTGTCAGATGGGCTCCTCCCACGTGCGTCGTGACACCTCGCCCGTGCTTGTCTGCCCATCCGTCATGACCAAACCAAACCAACCCCACACCTTGTTGCATCAAACGCCGCATCGAGTCATCACAATCTTCGAGTGCGGCGACTGCTGACGCGTGTTCCCATCCGGCTGACGCCCCAAAGGCTAGCACCGCCAAGTCAGGAGAGGTTGAATCAAGAGAGAGACAAGCCCTTGCACGACAGCCTCTGCGGAGCATCCGACAATTCCGGTTCCCCTGCTCCCGCCCCAGAGAGAGAGAGGTAGAGGGGAAAAGCTGCCCAATGCAGTCCCCCGTTTTAGACCGCAACTCCCTCTAGCTCGCTGCCCGCCGTCGCGACCCGGGGGGCCACGCGACGAACCATCTCAAGAGCGAGAGAGCTGTGGCTTCATGATGTTCGAGGCCGTCCAGGGCAACGTCGGCCGTATTGTCGGCTCGCGCGGCGTGTGATTTTCTTACGAAGCTTACAAAGGCTATCCGATACCGGATGTTGAAACGCGACTGTCTGGGAAACGCCGCAAGCATGTCTGCCAGCGAGATGGCTGCGGACCCGACTTCACGGCCATCCGATGCCGCTTGCTCGAGTTCGGGCTCGGGCTCGGGCTCAGCCAGCGATCTAGCCTGTCTTGATGTGCTGGATCTGTTGTAAGAAATTGGGGTTTCAACACTAGCAACTCATCCAAGAGGGGATTTGATATCCCTCAGCAATGACGACAACCACTTACTTAGACATGGATGATTTGTAGTATAGGTTATCCGTAGTTTCCCGTCGAGACTGCCATAGTGGAGCAGACAATGCTTTAACAAACCAAGGGTGGGTCCTGAAGTAGCGACCTCGAATTAGAGATAACGCTCTGTCATGCACGTAGGGACGAGGCTGCATTTGTTTTGTTACACGTGTTTATGTGTTTAGTCATTATGTATCTATATATTAAGTTGGTTTAAGTATTAAACGCGCAACGCTTTGTATCCAAAACACATCGACATCGACATAGCTAGGTAAGCGTCGGGTCTCGTCAGGCACGTTTCGTGCCGCCATAATTCCACTGCGCCATATTTTCGCCGTCCATCCATCCGTGAAAAACAAATCCAATACCACATCACACTATACCTACTCCAGGATCGTCGTCACGTACGGCAGCGACCGCTTGCTGACGTACCCGGTGTTCTTGTCCACGCCGACCTTGACGGTGGCGCTCGACAGGGGCGCCCTGATGTCGTTGCAGAGGCCGGCGGTCTGCTCCTTGGGCAGGAAGACGCGGGGCAGCCCCCCGGCGGGCATCTGCACCCAGAGGCGTCCCTTGTCGGCGACGGTGAAGGACTCGCAGTTCAGGACATCGATGACTTCGGCGCCGATGGCGAACTCGTGGACGTTGCGGGCGATGGCGAACATGACGTTGTTCTTGGCGTTGACGCCGCCATTGGTGTACATGGAGAAGAGCTGGCCCTTGCGGAAGGCGATGACGCGGCTGCTGTCGGTGCTGTGGTAAGAGAAGACGGCCTGTATCCGGTCCGTGGTCAAGAAGTTGGGGTTCGCCTGGGCGGCGTGCACCCGGATCTTGTTCGTCTGCTGGATCCAGCCGTACAGCGGCGAGTGGATATCGTAGCCGCCCAGCCAGAGGGCTTCGCGCTGGTTGGGCGTGGCGCCGCCGCCGTAGTGCTGCTCCTGGCCGTAGTAGACGATGGGGATGCCGTCGCGGAGCATGGTGATGGCGTACATGTTCTTGGCCAGGGCAATGTCGGAGGTCAGGTGGGGGAAGCGGACCTGGTCCTGGTTCTCGGCGAAGGAGCCCAAGACGGTAGGATCGATGCTAGGCATGCTCGCCATCTGGTTGGTTCCCTTGAACACCACGGATAGGTCGCCGTCGACTACGGAGAAGGCGTCGGCGAACCAGTGGTAGGCACTGTAGTCCAAGAAACCGTCCATGACTTTCTGGTAGGGGGCCAGCACGTTCAAGTCCGTGTGGCTGATCTCGCCCATCATGTAGACGCCGGCAGCTTCTCTGAAGCCGCCATCGGTCCAGAACGAGGGCTCGATCTCGAGAGCCGTGTCGAGGCGGAGGCCGTCGATGGAGTACTTTGGAACAAGTTCTCTGATCCAGTCGGCATAGGTCTTGCGGATGTAGGCGTCCTCAGTCCTCAGGTCGGGCAGACCCGAGAGCCAGCAGACCTGGATGGACGGAATGCTGTTCCAGTTGATGCCGCACTGCTTGTGGTAGTACTCGGGCTTGTTGAAGGGGATGTACTGGGAGTAATTGCCGGGCTGGGCGTTGAGACCCACGTGATTGGGGGCGATGTCAACCATCAGGTACATGCCGCGGGCGTGGATAGCATTGGAGAGCTCCAACAGGTCGGCCTCGGTGCCGAAGCGGGTGTTGATCGAGTAGAGGTCCTGGGTCCAGAAGCCGTGGTAGGCCTCGCCGGCCCCTGGGATGTTTCCTTCGATGTTCTTGACGATGGGCGAGATCCAAACGGCGGTGGCGCCCAGGTTCTGGATGTAGTCCAGGTTCTTGGTGATGCCCTTCCAGGTGCCGCCGCAGTACACGCCCTGGGTCGTGTCGCATGCGGGGGTCGAGCCGTCGGAAGTGGCATAGCGGTCGGTGAGGACTTGGTAGATGCTCTGGGTGCGCCATCCGGCGGCGTCCAAGGCCGATGCGCCCTGGATGGCCCCGATGGCCAGCAAGGAGAGAGTTGATGCGATGGAGGGCATGGTGGATGTGAGAAGGATTAAGGTATTACGGTACGGGTTTATAGCCGAGAGAGGAAGGAGGGCAGAGGAAGAAGAAAAGAGACAAGAAGATACTTGGAACACACGATACAATGAGAGTGAGTTGGTCAAGGATTGGAACGCAGTGCCTGGTATGGATTAAACGAAAGACAATAAATAGCGAAAGGCAGAACGAAGGAGTACCTTTGCTACAACGGCGGCAACTGCAGATGAAGGGAGGGACCTTGAGCGAGTGTAAACCACGCTGGCAGCACGGCGGCGCCTATGATATACTGTCACCGACGAGAACGACAAAGCAGGATCCGCAACTCCTGCACTCCTGGTACCGACTGCGCCGCCTCCTCTCTCGGCATGTAGTAGCAACGCTTTCAACTCGGCCCTTGCACCTATATAAGCTGTGTATTAAGCAACACGCGAACCACTTACCAGATGGAGAGGTCCCGGCCGATCGGATGCGCCCCAGACCGTCTCTTTTGAACCAGACCCCGGCCGCCATCTCCATCCGGGGACCCACTATGGCGCCTACCCATACGGTAAGGTAATGGTCCTTAATATTGGTTCAGGTACCGCTAAGCTCTGCAGTGTTTAAAAAGCAACTTGGCGGGTGGGGGGGCATAGGCTTGGAGAGAGGTGAGGTACCTAGAGAACTGGAGGAAAGAAGCAGTGATGGAGGGTGCAGACGACGGGACGAAGGAAAAGCCTCCAGTCTTGATATTCTTGAAGCTCGACGAGGGCTTAGCACTATAGCCTACCTACCGGTACCTTATTCTAAGGATGTGTATCCGTATAGAATTACATGGTACTCTCTAATTGAGGCGGATTCGTATACTGTATTCGTAGGTACGTGTATCCCAAATCGGAAACGGATAATGTGGGGCGGCGGCTGCACGGCCATTACGGAATAAACAAATGGGACCATTATCCCCAGATTAGCCAATATTGCACCCGCCCCTGGCTGCTGTGCCATTGCCTCGTGTAAACGCCTTATCTGTGGTTGGAGCGCACGGTACACCAAGCTCTCCATTAGGTATGGTCGCAAGTCAGAATGCAATATCTGAACCAATTATATGTAGACCCAACTGAAAGGTTGTAATGTCAAGTTGCAATCCAATCCCAGTGGCGTCAGCGCAGCGGAGCTCTACACGTGTACAAAGCACGTAGTCCGGCGGCAATCGAGCCCCGAGTGGGTTGGGAACAGAACACCACGCGAGGAAAGGGACAAAAACAAACCTGAGGCTGTGCAAAGAAAAGAGGATGTCTGTCACCTCGCGAAGCCCCCCCCCCCCCCCCCACATCCCTCGGACTTTGACAAAGGGGTCGGCATTTTTGGTGCGAGACATGAGGACCGGAAGAACAACACGCCTCGACGAATCGAGAGACACCGCTGTATCAACATGTTCCGCTTTCCAGCATATATCCGTACACATCCGTGGTTTATGAAAAGTCGAGACGAGTCCTTGCCGAGGCGGTGCTCCCTCCTTGACTACTTCATCAGCCGTGGGAAAAAGGCCTCGCTGACAAACCCTTGCTGTACCCCTTTATGAAAACAGTTGGGTTGCTGGTAAATTGACGGTCCCCTTTTGGTATCTTGACGGCCCTCTAAGCCTATCCCAGTTAGTCACTTGCTTACTTTAGTTAGTCCCTGCAGAAATACTATATTCCATTCCATCAGGCGAATATAACCAACTAACCCAGACCCTAACCATCCTAACCACTAACCCTACGCATCTGTAAAAGCATATATAAAAGATGCATAGGGTTAGTGGTTAGGGTCTGGGTTGGTTGGTAATGTTAGAGTGGTGGAATGTGTTATTTGGATGTGCTGTGGTGGTAGTGGCTAGAGGGCCGTCAAAATACCAAAAGGGGGCCGTCAATTTACCGGCAACCAAAAGTTGGACAACCCTTGCCGGCCCAGTGTCTGTACCAGGGTCCAGTACTCCGTACTGTCCGCTTTCTACCCGACGCCGGTTGGGAGGGCGGATGAATTACTCCGTACGGAGTAGATCGAGGTTGGTTCAATAAGAGAACTGACGGCACTTCTCGATGCTCCTTAACGACTCGTTTGCTCCACCAGGCAGTCAGTCTCCTCGCCAAGGTCTACACCAATCATTAAAACCGTATCGCTACCTGCTGAGGGGGCAACTTCATCCAGCCAAACCGGCCGACCCAACCGAGTTAACAGCCGAGCCAACCGCTGACTAAAATGCATCGCTCTCCGCAGCCCACGAGTACTACAGCATTGCATATGGAAACACTTGGCCAAGAGACAAGTATCGTAAAAGCTTCGACCTGATAGGCATCTTGCGAGCAATGGAACACCTATAGCCACTTCGATTCCGTGCAGACGCGCGCGCCATCTTGACGGAAAAGAAGACCACAAGAGCGGTAAGTTATCGAGAGGCAAGTATCAGTTGTGGTTTCACGGACATGCTATCGCCCAGCTGTGAGTGCTACAAGGGGCCTCCTTGCAGCGATCTGGTGGTGAATGCCATTCCACAGGCTATCGAACAGCCTGTTTGATCACTTAGAATCCCCTTCAATGGACAACAGATGGAGACAGCAAAATAATGGAGCAAAATACGTCAATACAAACATCGGAGGGAATCGAAGCTGGACGAGAAGAACTTGAAACCCGAAGTCCACACCCATATCTTTGGATATAGTCACCTTGGAGCGTAGTGAACCTCATATGTCTCCAGTTTCCAGCGTGTGAGACGAGACTGTCTGTGCAGAGGCATAGCACAGTCAGCCACAAATTTGTTTTTTTTTCTTCACCCAAAGAAGTGAATGAGTCGAATCCGGACGCTACCATTGTCGCGCTATCGAGCATTCCTTCTTTTCCCGCCTGCAGCAACCTGATCGAGCTGTTCGCGATATGATCTGGGAAGTCTACTCCAGGTCCAGGTAGCCTCACGGACTGAACCACATGTTCGCCAACACCACATGTTCCTCAGGGAAGTGGGGGAACACATGCTTCTGAGGGCGGCAAATGTGCCGAGAGTTCGGTCATGGCTCATCGTCAAGAGGGCACAGGGGCAAGCTAACCTTTATTGGCCGCCTAACTCACCGGGTGTGAGAGAACGGACGCGGAAAGTTTCCCGTATCAGATAGCGATATCGAGGCCGCATAACTGATGGGAAGTCGTACGACTATGGCGAATGATGTGATGTTGGAGTGTGAGACCATGGGAGGGTACTCATGTAGGAAATAGTACCAAGGACGACCGTCATCAACTCTTCTCGACATAGACATACGAATTGCGGCAGGGTCAACAATAAAAGCACAGCTGCCACAGCTTCCCGTGTGTGTGTCGATCGAGTTAGTATCTCTGCTATCGTTGTATATAGCTGCTGTCTTAAGTTCGAGTTGGTGTTCCGATGTATCTGCCCAGTGCAGATGTATTTCTTGATTATTGGTTCCTTCGGTGGAATAAAGTGGTTGTTCCTTAATTGGGTATTTCAGTCGGGATGGTAGAGGTGGCCGCGATAGTCTTCAACAACCCGACAGTTGCCTGCGAGATCAAACCAATCCACAAAGCGTAGTGTTTGTCTCAACCCACGCGCAGAGGCCGCCCGAACGCTGACAAGGATAGTGTTGGCAGACTTTCAATATGTACCTGTACAGAGCGGTGGAGCGAAGGATTCCCAGTCGTTCCACTCCGGGTCAATGCCGATATTGGCACAACTACCGCTGCCTCCCCTGACAACAAACGGATGTTTGTTATTTCGGTCACCAGGCCGTCCATTGCTGCCTCTTTGACAAAACGCATACTTTCTAGCAACTGCTTTAACTACGCCCTCGCCCTCACCGTCGTTATGTCAACGCCCAGCAATGAATACCACCAACGCGACTACGCAGTCCGGCAAAAGGAGAGCAGTACAGTGCTACGATGGAAGCAGACAGGCACCATCAAGAGGACCGCCATATTCCCGCATTCGGGGTCAACCCATATTATGGTAGCAAGAGAACAGCCATTGTGAGCCATATACGCAAAATTCAGGGGGGAGGTGTCATCGGAAAACAACAGCTGGGATGTGAAGGGTATATCTGCCCATGGTAATCCTTTCTCTTGATATGTCCGACAATTCGCATTGGATTAAATTGGCTTGTTCGGCGAAAAACAATACGCCGGGGAAACGTACCAACAAAACAACTTCCTCAACATCCTGACCAGTGCACACCTGAGGCTGTGTTGGCCCCCTATGGTTGGACCTGAACCATAACCCACTAGGCTCAGAAGTGCATTGCCTTGTCAGTGCACAACAGCCTGGCCAGCCCCGCGCATGTCGTATGTGCAACATTGTTTAGGCATCAGACGACGTTGCGGCCTGTTGAGCCTCAGGATAAGTAGAGTAGGTAGTCAGGCACATACCGTTGGAAAGGGGGCTACGAACCTACCTAGGTTGGTTAGCCGCCAGGATCAACCTTATCTCGCACCATGTGGAGGGAATGACCCAGGCACGCGCCAAGACCTGTAAACAGGAAACTTTCAGCGCCGCACACGATAAGATAAGCAACAACGACGTCAACCCAGGGCCATCCCTCCAGCAAACATCTCTCGCCGAACCTTTATCCGACTACATCTCTTAATTCGACGACGACGACGACGACGATAGGCAGCGCATCGATGGGGTTCTCGCCATGACGAGCCCACCAGCTTCCCCGCGACGGCGGCACATCCTGTCATCCGTCAACCCGGAGGAGCGTCACGAGGAGGCGCCGCGGTCCAAGAAGCGCAGCTCACCTGGCGCGACAGAGTCGATTACGGAAGAACATGCGACAGCAGATGACGGCCCAGACCTACAGCCTAGACCGTCGCGCATTCGTCTCAAGTCGAGACACTCCAAGTCAAGCAGATCACATGGCGACCGCGACGATACCGAACACCGTTCCTCACATCACCGCCATCACCACCGTCGGCGACATCGCAGACGGTCGAGATCGCCAACGCCACCAAATCCCTACGAACAACAGGCACTCGACCCGGATGCCGCGTTTCGTGAGTCCCTGTTCGACGCGATGGCGGACGACGAGGGCGCAGACTACTGGCAAAGCGTCTACGGGCAGCCGATACACGTTTACTCCAACGAGCGACCCGGCCCAGACGGCGAGCTGGAGCGCATGACGGACGAGGAATACGCCCAGCACGTCAGGCGGAAAATGTGGGAGAAGACGCACCAGGGCTTGATCGAGGAGAGGGCCCGTCGAGAGGAGGCACGGAAACACAAACGCGAGGAGGAGAAGATGAATCGGAAGCTGCAGGAAGACATGGAACGGAGCCTCCGGCGCGGGGAGGAGCGCCGTCGGAGGAGGACGTGGACGCGGCTCTGGGAAGAGTACGCACACGCCTGGTCGGAATGGTCCAACGATGCGGAGAAGATACCGTGGCCCGTGGAAAGTGGACGGTGCAAAGACATCAACGAAAAGGAGGTCAGGCGGTTCATCGTGAACGGGCTGGCAGTGGAGGACATTGGCGAGAAGGAGTTCGCCGCAAAGCTACGCGAGGAACGCGTGCGGTGGCATCCGGACAAGATGCAGCAAAAGCTCGGGGGCCAGGTGGACGAGGCCATCATGAAGGACATTACGGCCATTTTCCAAATCATTGACAAGTTATGGGCAGATACCCGGTCGAAGGCGTAACAAATGCCGGGCTGCAGCAGGCATCCTTCGATCACCACTTCGTTATGGCGCAATCAAAAGGATCAATCACGAACATGCTCTTGGGCTTCCTGGGTGAATGTGGGAGGGAAGAGTATGACTACAGCCCAAACACAGGTGTGCCCACCCCCTTTTCTTCTTGAGCCGTGAAACACTGGGGGTGAAGCAAGCAGATGGGAGAGAGCTTGGTGCCCTCCAACCAAAGTACGGCCAAGACGATTGGCGCAGCATCACATCATCACTCTCCCCCATCCGGACGGCGGTGAAGGCATAGCTCTAGCACAGGACACAAGCGTGGCCTGACGCACCCCTCCCCGGCACCCGGACTACCCAGTCAGGTGCAAGACGGTGACTGAATGCATGGATCACAACTCGGTCATTGTGTCCCAACTGGCAATATTGCGCACTGGCACAATTACCCGGTGCCAAGTTGTTCTAGGCGGCCAAGGCGCGTAACGGCAAACCGCGCCTCGGTCGGTTTGCCCCCAAATCTCGATTCCCGCCACCCTGGCAAACAAATGATAGGTCGAGCAAATTGACCAGCCAGATCAAACAGCCCCCCTCAAGGAAACTGAACAGAGATTTCTTTTCTTCTTGGAAAAAAAAAAAAGTACGGGTTGATGATTTATTTATTGGTGTACAATTCGTACAGGTATTACATCATGATATCTCTGATAATCCCAAAACAATGCTGTAGTCTCCATCCTTATTTCACCAAGTGGCGCCTATCAGGGGAAGAGTTTTTCCCCACCAATGAGCCCGTGACGATTTCGTATCGCTGTGCTGTATGAACAATTGTCTATTTTTTACATGTTGGCAACGAGGGCGGCACCACCGAAGAGGGCACCGAGGGCGACGGCAGCGGTCTGCTGAGCACCGCCGGCAGCATCGGGGGCGGTGGTGGTGCCTGTGGCGGACTCGATCCTGGAGGCAGCCTCGCTGGAGGCGGACTCGATGGCGCGGGATAGGCTGGCAGAGGCGGAAGCGTCGGTGGCGGAGCTGAGGGCCGCGCTCAGGGAGCTCTGCTGGGCACCAGCGGAAGAAGTGATGGCGTTGACGGCGGACGAAGCGTCGGCGGCGGCGGAGGAGGCGGCGCCGGCGGCGCTGCTCGCGATGCCGGAAGCCTCAGAGGCGAGGCCGCTGGTGACGGAGTTAAAGATGGAGCTGAGCTCAGAGGCGCCGGGGATGGCGGGGGTGGTGGTAGTCTCCTGGGCCTTTTAGGAGGGTGTCAGCATTGGACAGCGGAAGAGAGTTGTCTGAGGATTGGGAGTTGCAACTTACAGCAGCCAGGGAGACGAGGGCGAAGACGGTGGCAGCGGTGAAACGCATTTTGGACCGAGTTTTGGGGTTTGGTAGGTTAAAAGGTTATTAAGTTGGTGGAAGGTTGGCTGGAGAGATCGACGAGTGCTGAAGACGATTGAGATGGATTATGAAATGGATAGAAGAGGGGGGGGAGCAGGTCTGTTGAAAGAGTCGGTGGAAACGGTCTTATATATCCCATGGTGAGCATCGTTCAGCAAGAGGTCAAGACAGTGGGCGCCCCCCCGTCCCCCGTCCTTCTGTCTCTCGCCTCGGTTTGTTCAACCCACGCCCCCCCTTTCATCTCGTCTCCGAGAAGGGCGAGGGCGCGATCCTCCACAATCCTGGGCGGCAGCGGTACACGTAGACTTGGCGGTGCAGTTATGGCGAGGTGAGTGGTACGGCGTGCAGTCCATGATGGGATTCCTCCTCACTCACCTCCACACGCCCCACCACCCACCCCCCCCCTATGCCTCACCTTGCCCGCTCCAGGAGGCGAACACACACGCCGAAGACTGGTGAGAAGGAGGGGCCTTTGGGGCTTGGGGCATTGCGACTAGGTTGCGTTGCTAGTCTAGCGGACTGCGGGTGGCGCTCCAAGACGGAGACGCTACGGTGCCGACTACGTATCGTATTCGCAGGGTGCGGTGAACCTACAAGTACATCGGACGTAGCGTACATAGGACGGAGAGAAGGGCAAACGCAGAGAGAGACAGCGGGAATGAAAGACCCACATACCCACGTCACCCCTACGGTAACTTGCGGCCCCGGATTCTCCAGCTGCTGAGACGGGCATGGGTTATGACTGTAGTGTACAATCAATGTACGGGCTTGATGGGCCTCGAAGGTCCTTTCGGAAGCTCGCTCGTCTGTAGCACCCCGCTGCTGCTCCATCCTGCATCTTGTGAGACTGACGGCGGAGAGGAAGCATTACATGATCCGTCGTCGGGCTGCGCGTTTGCCTGCGAGCCTGGTGGTTTAGACTCGGGGACGTAGTGCAGTTTGGTAAGCTGTAGCCAAAAAAGCAGCAGGCAAGCAAGCAAGCAAGCAGCGAACAGGGGCCCTCGTCATGCCCGTCAATCTGGGGGAGGAGGACAAGTTCCCAGTGTAGATGTACATATCAGGTACGTACATCGTACTTGTACGCCGTGGACCGCCCCAGCATGACCACTCCACACACACTCCCTCTGTCCCTGCCTCTAACGAGAGAACCGGTAGAGCTGTTCCGTCGAAGAATCCGACCACCAGGAGAGGCGATGGAGAGACGATATCTTGGATCGGTTGATGATGGAAGCGAACGCGTCCGCCGTCCGTTACCCCAACGAAGAGGAGCGCCAAGGCTGACGAAACGGAACTAATTCAGCGCGGATTGAGGAATCTCTCCCGTGGAACCGAACTGGTGCTAGCTGAACGGTGCACAGCAAGGCGAGACACGCACATACGCATGCATAGCAAGGCCACCCTGGCGTTTGTGCCTGCGCGGCGTGGCTAACGTTGTTCCAGAGGAGGAATGAACAAAGGAAAAGGAAAGGCCCAGGACCTGGTACCTGAACAGCCGGCCGTTTCCCAAGATAGCAACAGCAGGGAGGCTCGCAGCTCGCAGCTCGTAAGCCACGCGGGTACGTGGCACTCAGTGGCGCAGTGAGGAGAGGTCGTCCTCCGCATCATCCACGGCTTTACCGTACAGTACAATGTGTAGTAGACCCCAATGACCAGAAGAAATTACCCGGCCCCAGAGACAGTGCATTGACAGGACAGCAAAGAGCGGAGAGGGATGACCCACGGCCATCGGTCGCGTCGCCGAAAGGGGGCATTATGTCATTGGGAAAAAAAACAAAAAACAAAAAAAAAACAAGTGAGAGCATATGACGGTACTTGGCCTACGAGTGAAGACGGAGAAAAAGACACCCAAACGGGAGAGCCAAGGACCGGGGCGGCGGCGAAGACAAGCCGATCGACAGGAGGTGGGGAGATTAAGGGGGGACGTGATTCGCTGGAGCTCCTCATCCTCCTGGCGCACCGTTCTGGGGCTATTCTGTGATACGTACCTCCAAAGCAAACGGAGACATAAACTACCTACGGAGTACACAAACGGGAGAAACGGCATTGATTGCTGGGCAGGATGACGATGGGTGGTCACAAGGGAAGCAAGGAGGTCGCGTAGAAGGAATAAAAGAGAAAAAAAAGGAAGGAACCGCCGGCTGGCTACCTACATGTATCTCTCTCGGTTGGACAAAGTTGGCACGGCAATCAGGCTGCCGCGAGGGGTCTCGAGTCGTCATCATCATCATCATCATCGTCGTCGTCGACAACGACAACGTTTGACGGGTACACAGGTGACTAAGCAGCACCGATGCCATTTACTTACTTACCGTCACCAGCAGCCAAAGGGAATGAGGGGACGAGGCTTTGTGCTGGGAATCTGCGCGCCGACTATCGGGTCCCTCCCTGGATCGACACTGATATCCATTGTAATTTCTGTACCGCTTTGCTGAGGGGACCATCCGGCTAACTGTGCACGTGCAGCTTTGGAGGGCAAAAGGCAGTTTTGTCCAGCGAACCCTGCCCGGCGTCAATCTGTCCGGTGCCGCCTGCCAGCGCAAACTCAAAAGTCTATCCCAAGTGTCACCGCTTCTCGTTTGTTTTTGTTTCTATTTTCATCTAGTTTTTTTGTGCTTGCCGACAGCTGATAGACGGGCAAACTTTCCCTAGACCCCCCCCCCCCCCCCCCCCCCCCCCCCGGCCCCTGTGAAGGGGAAACATGCTTTTGTTTTATTTTATGGCGTGCCTTGAGAGTCTTGGTGCACTGACGGTTGGTATGTCAAAGCAGCTGCGCCGGTTTTTGCTCTCCAGGCACCGGGGCAGATCGGCCTCGATTGATGGCGTTTGTTGGAGCAGGCCAGACAGAACAGATGAGAACGACGGTCCAGCTACCAGAGGTTCGACCCCCCCTGTTGGATTTAACATAACGCAGGAGAGGCGGAAACCTTTTGCTGCTGTTTCTTGGTATGCATCCGAGCCACGTGAGTGGTCATACTACCACTTGCTACTTTCGGTTGGCTAAAGGCCATGCAAACCAAACCCATGTAATCCGTAGGAAACTGGGAAAGCTGGCAACGAGAGGGTGGGCTGGACCCGACGGACGCAATCGAACGAGTCTCGACTGTTCTTGGAGACCAGTCCCAGCACCCCACAAAGCCCAGAGGTCGTTTTCTGCCGGCTTAGCTGTGCCTGCTGTCGGACTGCCAATGCTGCGCCAATAATGACACTTTCACTTTGGCGTGCCCCCCTTCTCCAAAAGTGCCTTTTTAATCTGACATCGGCTGAACGGTCCTGTATCAGATCAGACGAGTCGGGCGGCTCGGATGGGTGGAGCGAGCGGTGGCGTTTTCGTCTTCGTTGTCGTCGTCGTCGTCGTCGTCCCTGCATCTGTGCGCCGGGGCCATATGGGATATACGCACCGGTCAGCGAGCAAAAAGAACCCAGACGGACAAGAGTTTTGGGGAGGTTGCAAAACCCAGGCTCGCACTACACACGCGACGGGGGCCGGGGGGGCGGAGAGACAGATTACGTCATAGGCGGTCCAATACCGCCAAGCACGCCGTTAGTTTCGGACCCCCCCCCCCCCCCCCCCCCCCAAAGTGCCATGGTCAAGGCGAGGCCGGTCTATGCAGCGCCGGGAAAGGAAACTCAATGCTACACACCAAGGTAATTAAAAAATTTAGAAAATCTGCTCCAGGGCACCTAGCTTCAATTTCCTGCTTTCCTTCCGTAGGGAAGCTCTAGAAGTTGTCTGGCATACAGGGCCCCGACGGGTGTGTTTCACCAAGACACACCTGCTTGGAACGCCATGCAGGGGAGGGAGTCCCCGGGGTTCCGCCCGCCCGCCTGCTGTCGCGAAATATGTTTGTGCGACCTCCCCTCTTTGGGAGCGTGAGAGTGAGGTGCACAAGTAAATGAATAATTCACGGATGGGCAAGCAGGGCCCATTACGGGGGGAGAACGCAGTCGGTCTCGAGTATTGACTTGGTCGCTTCTGCCTCAACCCGACACGATCAGCAAACGAAGAAAAGAGAGGAGAGGGGGCGTACAATGCTGTCCTGCCGCCTCGATGGCACGCACGCCCGCCATCAACCACCCCCCCAAACCCCCGGTTCCAGCGTTCCCAGTGAACAGAGTAGTGTACACCAAGATGGTGGGCAGCAAGCTCGGGAACTCTCCATCTCGGATGATTCCCACCAGGGATGAAGGATGCAATAGAACAGAGCGAACGGAGCCCCAGAGGTGGTTTTGGTTGGCTCACCGACGTCTTCTAACCATTGCAAGATGACGTGATGACGGGGGTTGGGGCATCACACTGGCATCACGACATGCATTACAATAGGCGAAATCAAGACGGGTTCCGAACGCCGCAGAGTCAGCCCTGATGCAGCTTACATCCGTCAGTTTCAGAAAGCTCGGATTGTCCATTGGCTTGTCAATTGATTGATTGCCTAGGTATGCCGTGTCATTCCGAAGAGCGTGGCTGAAGCTGGGCCAGCTTCGTGCAGGTATCCTCCACTGGTAATCTCCCTCCCCCGATTACCTCATCTCGCCCATCCATCAGCTCATCTTCCTGCCTTATCTCCTCTCCTCTCCCTGGCACAACGAGGCAAGCCCCTCGGGCCCCCAAGACGTCCTGTCGCGAGATGTATCTAGCCTTGCGCCCCGAGAGCGACTCAGAAGGAGCGCGGCCGCGGCGCCAAGTGTCCCGGCCCGCAGCTCTCATCGCGTTGATCTGCATGACGCAGAAGCCAGGATGCGAACCTTAATTGGACATGTGCCCCACACCTCAGCACTCCCACGGTCCCCACCCCGAATTCCTTTTACCTGCGTGTCTCTCTCTCTGTGGGTGCTTTTGGTAGGTGGGCGTAGATTGTCATTACATAATGGTCAAACCCCTTCCGTCATGAAGGGCGTGGCAAGCCACTGAGCTCTGCTAAATTAAGCAGCAAGGGGCTCTCGTTTTGTGGTGACGCGTAATCCTTTGCCAGCACAGAGGCAGCCGGCCGGGTGCGCCCCGTCCAACCAAATCCCGTTCTGGTCAGCAGGATTGAGTACATCACCCTTCAGCCCTTTCCCGCGCAGTCCAGTTCAACTGGAATGTCACCAATGGTTCGAGAGGCACTCCTTTTCGTGTGGCGGTGATGGTACGTGGCGCAGCCCGCCGCCTAACTGCATCTGTGGCGAGTACCTGACGGCTCCTTCATGATCGCCGAACCATGCGCAATTGCCATCGGGCATAGAATGCTCAGCCCATAACCTGAGCAACCCCCTTCTTGAGCTCGTTGACGATCTCGTGAGCCTCTTCGACTGATTTCGCTTCGAAATCATAGCGCTTGCTCTCCGTGTCCTTGTATATGAAAAGCTAATAGGCCATCTGTCAGCTTATGCCCTGACGCGGAAGCCCGCTCGGCAATCTGTGCGTGCACTCACCTTGAACTGGTTCGGATGCTTGCTCGAGACCTTGCATCCAATCACCTGAGAGATGTGCGCCGTCGTCGTCTTTGAGTCCCTCGTCGTTGGCTTGATGTGCACATACTCCCCGTCAATCTCGAACCGCTTCTCGGACTGCGTGATCATCCGCACCGTGCGCAGGCGCCAGACCACCCACGACTTGTGATACGCGCTCGTGAACTCCGCCTGCTTGATGGCCTCCTGAGCCAACGGGTGGCTTCCCATGATATGCGGCTTCTTAGCTTTGCGGCCCGGCGGGCCGTCTACAAAGGGAAGAAGCTTCGGCGAGGCACTGCTCGGCGACCCGGTCATGGCAAGTGGGCCGTCCGTGGCGAAGCGGCGCCGGTGCAACTCCAGATCTGCCAAGCTGCCGATTGCAGCGACCTTGGTGTCGAGCAGGATCACAGGGCCCCCGCCGGGCATCTTGAGAACGTGATTGGCCTTGTCCAACTGTCTCTTACGACACACCATGTCAAGGACCTCGGCCATGTACGTTTCCGTCGTTGTGTCGAGCGTGACCAGCTGCCCCGGAGCCACGTCGGTCGAGTGAAGATGCACCCGCAATAGCTTTTGTTGACCCCGGCTCGTGTTGGGCGCCGCCGCCGGCGCCTGAGGTGCGTCGGCGAACATACTATGCTGTTGACTATAGGTAGTATTCGTGACGGGGTTGGGGCGAGGCTCTGTGGCGACGGGAAGGAACGAGTTCAGGTTCGGCTGCGGCGTGTTGCGCGGCGTCAAGTCCTCGTCGGCATCTTCGGCCGCCTCTTCCTCTTCCTGCGGTGTGATGCTCTGGTTCTCGTTGAACTCGGACTGAGTTGCCTGTACCAGGCCAAAGTTGTCGAACGTCTTGGAGTTGGCACGCATCCTCCCGGCAGCTCGGTTGTTTGCCGTGGTGAAGGATGTCAACGCCTTGTTCCGCTCAAACGGCGGAAAGTCATCGTCGACTTCGCCGTCCTCCTCGACCATTCTGAGGGTAAACCAGTTGATGTTGGCTTTATCGGCGGGGATGGGCGGCTGCCGTTTCTCCTCGTTGTATCTCCAGAGTGCGAGGCCGATGAGGTCCGCCACTGTCACAGGCCGATCGCCGCCTTCGCCGTGATGCACCATGCGCCGGATAGGGACTTCAAACGGTTTCGCGGGGTTATCAGAGAAGGCGGGATAGATCCGAACGGCGATGGGGTTGTTCTCGCCCTGGCCGGAGAGGGCTGCAAAGCTCTCAAACGGCACCTTGGGCTTGGTCTTTCTTGCTCTGAGCGCTGCAGACAGCAGACTCTTGGGCTGGATCATGCTCATGGGCCGGATGGTGCTCATCGGACGAGGCGGCGGCAATGCCTGCAAGATGCGGGGCGGTGCCTGTGACTTGCGGATAGTAGACGTCCTCGTAAACTCGCGAGGCGGCGTTCCGACAACTTGCTTGTGAGGGATTGGTTCTGGGTTCCCGACGGCGTCCAGGATCGAGGCCGAGTCGATGCTCTCAATATAGGCACCGGACATGTCCGACCCATCGGAATCGTCCTCCTCCTCCTCCGGCAGCAAGTCAGTGCCAGCCCGCTTTATACCAAGGCCGGGCTCCTCCATGATCTTAGCCTGGAGCTTCACAGACTTGGCGGCGGCTCTCGCAGCCTCTCTCTGCTTATGGAAACCAGAGGCGTCGAACTCGTTCTCGGAGGATACCTCGCTGCTCGTGACCGTGTCTCTCCGGGCCCTCTCTTTAACCATTTCGAGAGCAGACTGAGAGCCCCGGCGAGCGCTGTGGGCCGCGCGGGGCGACATGGCTGGCGACTGCTTGATCTGCGACGACTGAATGGGGCTGGATCCGGCCCTTGCGCGGACGGGCATCTTGGCGAACTTGATCTGCTGCGCCGCTCGCTGGCCTGCGTCGTCATCGTCGCTCTCGTCGGTGAGATCACTACTATCATCGTCTTCGAGCGTTTCGCGACGTCTTCTTCTCCTTATAGCCAGGCCTGGGCCGATAGTATCGGTACCTCCACCAGTCAACATTCCAGCTTCATCCGGTTCATCTTCAAGGGTTACTCCGGCCTGCCTCGGTGCTTGGAAGTATTCGGAAGCAATCGCGGTTGGTATTGGGGGAGAGTAGCATCGTTTGACAAGGTCAGGATTCGCCTGCCAGGCGACCGCCTTGAAAGCCGATGAGTTCATGAACCCCTCATTGAGGGTAATCAGTCGCTCACCCACCCCGTCGGCGATTTCTGTAAGGTAGCCGCAGCGCAGCTGGTATGCAACCAGCCTGGAAAACCAATGTCAGCAGGGCGTGTAAGCTTTACGGGTACTCATCCTACCTACTCTTCGTTCTGGATAACCGACATTGTGGGCAGATGTGCTTCCGGTCATTGGGGTTGAAAGCAGAAGTTCAGTCGCAGACCACTCCAAAGGGTATCAGGTCAAAGGAGCTACACCCACGATCTAAAAAAGAACATAATTGCGAGCACGGCTCGCCAGATCGCAAAAGGAAGAAAGCTGTGCGAGGTTGAAAGAGGAAGCAGCCGAGGGGTAACTACGAGATGTGTCGGCAACAACCAACCCTCAGCCTTGTGAAACAGTAGCGCTGAGGAGATGGCTCGTGCACCAGTATGACGCACGGTTCCAGACTAGCCTTGTGGTGTGGCGGTGCGCCCCAGACATTCAGGGACAGGCACCTTGTTGACCTCCCAAGTCACTTTTCGCATTTTGTCCAACTTCATCTACAAACTGCAAACGACAACCTAAAACCAACAGCAACAATGGGCTTGGTAGACTACCCGGAATCTTCAGGGTCGGAGGACGAAGCGCCTGTCAAGCCGACCACCGCGAAGCCCGCGAAGCCCGCGTCCACCACAGGAAAGAAGCCGTTTCAGAAAGTCGTCGACCGATCGAACCCAGGCAAGATCGTCGTCAACCTGCCGTCGACACAAGCGGAAGATCCGAAACCATCGAGCGATGAGCCGCCAGCCAAACGCGCGCGCACCGGGAAGGGCGGCCTGTTCAGCGGCTTCAACTCCTTCCTCCCCGCACCGAAGAACACCGCGAAGGCCGCCTCAGCGCAGAGCAGCAACAGCAGCTCATCGCGGCCAGTATTCCAGCTCAAGACCGGCGCGGAGCCTGGCTTCAGCAGGGAGAGAGGAGGCGGAGATGTAGAGGGATCGTTGGGGACGAATAGCGGCGGCATGAGCCTGCCCGTCCCCAAGGCTCAGGCGCAGCCGACGATACCAGAGGGGATGACACCGGCGGACGAAGTCAAGTTGGTCGGGAAGCCGATGATGTTCAAGCCCCTGTCCGTGGCCCGGAAACCGAAGAAGAAGACCCCGGCCTCGGCTCCTCCCGCGGCAGCGCCTAAGGCGACACCTAAGGTAGATGGAGTGTCCGAAGCGAAAGACACGCCTACGCCGGCTCCAGCACCGACGAAGGTCTCCCTCTTCTCCTTAGAAACCGACGATGACACAGCAGCCGCGCCGACGGACGCGGCACCCGCCAGCGGCGCATACGAGCCGCTCTTTGCGACGGAGCAGCCGACGGACAATGGCTACGCGGACTACGCGGCGCAGGCCGGCTGGTCAGCCCCGACGACGGCGCCTAACAACGCCAACTCGCTCGACACCATCGCCGACGATCTCAACCTCTCGGCGGCGGCGCGGCGTGAGCTCTTTGGCCGGCAAAAGGGCGGCGGCGCGAGCGCCCCGCAGACGGCCTCGCGGGTCATCAACTTCAACATGGACCAGGAGTACCAGCACAATGAGGAGCTGCGGGCCGCGGGCCAGCAGCAGATCCACAACCCCGTGCGGTCCATCGCGCCGGGCAAGCACAACCTGCGGCAGCTCGTCAACCAGGTGCAGAACCAACGCGAGGCGCTCGAGGACAGCTTCGCCAAGGGCAAAAGCAACAGGAAGGAGGCATCGAGCCGGTACGGATGGTAGGAGTAGGCAGGCAGGCAGGCAGACGGGAGAAAAGATATGGCACGAATGATACCCGAATTGATGTAAAAATCTTTTTTGAACTCTTGTTTGATCATGTTTGCTAATGTACATGATGGTTGATGCTTGCGCATCTCGGTTGTCTAGGTACTCTCCCCCAAAACTTTTGTACTCGTAAAGGTCGTGATACACACTCGAAAGAAGAAAATGAACAAACAGGCTATCTTGTATACACGGGGGAATATTCGCCAAACCGTCACCGAATGTCTTTCCCAACAGGGAAAAGAGAGAGAAAAAAAAGACAAGGGATATCGAGAGGGCCACGAAGAAACAAAACAAAGCAGGCTCAGCAAGTCATGACTGGGGCGGTGCGGCCGGCTCCAGCGCCGCCGGGTCCCATGAGGAAGCCCCACTCGCCTCGGGTGATGGGGGAGATGTCGTCGTACGCGTTGGGCGTCACCGGACCCGTTTGCTGCCTGTCGTCGTGGAGGACTTCGGCGATGGAGATGGGACTCCAGACAGACACGGGCGGCTGGCGCTCCGGGCGGGCGGTGAGGTCTTCCTCCTCGTCATTGGAGACCTCGCCGGCCCTGACCTCGCGCGGTGGCGACAGCGGCTTGTTGTTGAAGTTGGTCAGCACCCGCAGCACGGGGCCCTTGGGAGTGGGCGGCTTGGAGATGCGGATGGTGCCCATGGTGGCGGCCAAGGTGTCGTCGACCTTCCTTTCGAGCTCCCTCACGGTGCGCTCCACCTGCTCCGCGGAGCCGACGCCCTCGATGGCGCCGACGCGGTCGGGCCCGCCGTAGGCCCTGCGGTACATCTTGTCGACGTCGTTGAGGGCGACGTCGGTGACGCCAAGCCAGTCGTAGGAGCGCAGCAGTTCAGACTTGGTGACCTTGCGGCCCGCGCGCGAGAGGATCAGCCTGCGGAGCTCGTCCACGGCGTCCTCGAGCCTCAGGGGCGCGTCGGTGCGGGAATAGCTGGAGAGGGCGGCTTTGAAGGTGTACAGGCGGTCCAGGGAGACGAGGGTGAGGCCATCGGAGGCGAAGAGGACCTCGTTCTGCACGATGGAGCGGCGGATGAGGTTACTCGTGACACCGCACGCGGAACCGTCAACAACGGGCGGGAGCCATTCAGTTCTGAGGGTGCGTGTTAGTGCGGGTTCTTGTTTGTGTGGTGATAGGGGGGGGTAAAGGACTTACCCGATACGGAACTTCTTTTCGGCCCGCTCAATGGTTTGCCTCAGCGTCCGCTCCTGCTTGTCGGTAAGGAGGTCGGCGTGGATGAGGCGGATGCCAAAGGGGTTGGGCGACATGGGGCCGGAGGCGTCGGTGATGGTTGAGGAAGCGGTGCTGGGCGTCATGGGCGGGGGCGAGAGGGGGATGCCCGGCGACAGGGGCCAGCGCAGCCGCGGGCCGTTGGTGTCCATGAGGAACGATGGCGTGAAGACGAAGGTGTCGGGGGCGGAGGCGGAAGCGGCGCTGCTGGTGGAGGAGACAGAAGAGGTTGAGGAGATGCTGGAGCCCGTGTTGGACCTGACGAGCTTCTTGAAGTTGAAGCGGGAGGTGGAGAAGGAGGAGTTGCTGGAGGAAGAGGCGGGCGGCGACATGGCTGGCGAGGAGAGGGCAGAAGACGAGGAGGCCGAGGAGGAAGGGAGGAGGGTGGGAAGCTGGTACTCGCGCCGGGCGACGACGAGGGTGACGTGGATGGACTTCCTGGCGAGGCGCTTGGAGGCGTACTCCAGGGCCTCGTTTAGATGGGGCGGTAGGTTCTGAACATCGAGGATGGAGGTACCGGCCTCCAGGGGCGATGAAATGCGGCTCTTGAGTGCCATTGTGAGGCTTTTGGTAGGTAGTCTGGGTAGAACAAAAGTTGGGGCAGGGAATGTTTCCCGAGAAGGACGGTGATTAGCCCAAAAGTGGCGACGCCAGGTCGATAAAAAAGTTACAGAATACTAAGAAATCGACACTGAGCGCCAGGCTTCGTTTGGATTGTCGATACTGGAACACTACTACTGCTGCTGAACTTGTTGACAAGCTCTGGGTGATAGAGGTCGAGTTGGGGGGGGGGGGGGGGGAGAGGCGGCGATGTTATATCGACAGGAAGGAGGCGCGAATGCAGGGAACCCCCCCAAGAAAAATCCGAAACAAGAGTCATTTGGATGCAGGAACCCCCTTGGCGGTCACCTCGTCATTAAGATGGCGATGCAACTCAAAACAGCCTTATGGGGGTATCTTGTCTTTCTTTGGTGCTACATGGATCTTTTGGGCAGAGTCCCAAAGGGGAAAGCAGCTATCTCCCGCGGACGGTGTGAGCGAGTGGCTTTGGCGATTGCCCCACAATTGGTGCTCCCCGCAGCTACGGAGTACATGGTACGATGTACTTATCCAGCCGGGGTTGTAGTGGGTGTGGTCGATGATGTTGATGTACACCACGTACCCCTGCCTCCTTCCCAAGGTAACCATGCAGCAAAAGGGGGGAAGGAGGGGAACCACTGCCAAAGGGACGCGAGGACGTACGAAAGAAGAGCCCTAGAGGCCGGATAAAAATAAGGGTTCACTGGGCGTTGGCGCGTCTGACAAGGGAAAACTCTATCTCTCGTAATACCTAATGTACTCAGGGTGGATCGCTACAGCCTTTGCCAAAAAAGATGAAACCCCTCTCTTTAAGATGACATGTGCGATGGGAGAAGGACGGGACGCACGGTCGCTACGGCTTAATTATTGGTTCTGGGCAAACGGCCAGCGGCCACGCGGGCGAGCGAGTTGTGTTTGTACGTACAGAGTACAAATATATGCGCGGGCTGGAATGAGGCGGCGATTTCAGTAGGACGGGATGGCCAGGCGAGCTTTTGTTTCATCATCTCCCTCGGTTTCCCGTCCTGATTCGACGACTTTGTCACTCGAGCGGGGGATGGTATCAAGGCTGTGACGACGACGATGAGGAAGAGGACCACTACACTCATGGGCTCAGTGGGCGCCGCACATGATGTACAGGTAAGGAAGAAGCAGACGTTGCCAAGGAATGCGGGAGAGCGAGAAAGAAGCCAAAACTGGCCCCGCCTGCCATCTATCTCTACCCATTATCAAACATGCCGCCAACAACGGCCAGCACTCCGCGGGCCCCCGCTGTCATCGATAAGCATGTCGTGGGTTTCGATATCGAATGGGTCTTTGCTCCCTAAGCGAACCACTGCCACGTATCATGGGCTGCGCGACGTAGAGTGCCTACGAGGTGAATACCTAGCCAATCTCACGGAGAGCAGGTACATCGTCAGCAAGCTAGATGGGGCCACTTCCTATTTCCAGCTCAGGACGGTAAGCTGCGCTCGAATCACACGGTAGTCCACTTCCCGTATCTACAAAATTAGAGCTGGGAAAGGCACTTGCTCCTTGTTTGTTTTTGCCCAAAATCTCACCTTGGAAGCACCTACTATTTAGCTATCTTTCCCCAACTCTGCAGAAAGCGAACGTTTGGAACAGCAAGATGGCCAATCGTAGATTTCCGCCCATCTCTCGTGCGTGCAGTAGCGTATTCTGGGCGGCTACGATGCTATTTTCAGTGAAGAAACCGACGACCGTTAGCTAGGTCGGGCCAATCAGACGCCGCTGAGGCGGCCGTGGGGATCTGCTTTGAGATCGCCTGTGTGCGCGTGTGCCGAGCAGGGGTATCACCTGCATAATATGGGGCCCGCCGTACTCTCCAGTGTCGCAAAAATAGAATGATGCCTGCCTTCCTGCCACACCCTTTCATCAACGCGCCGGGGCGAATGTCACCACCAAGGAAGAAAACGAGAAGGAGATAGAGAGAGAGGCTCAGGAATTGGTCCACACGCACCGCGGCGATGACTGCGAACTTGCGGGTGCCGAACCCGTGGACCGCCCCCATCTAACAATTGACGTGACTCGAAACAAAGAGAATCAGTCATCCTTTGGGGCATCGTGATAAGGCTTCCAGAAGAGGCAGTCACTAAACCAGCTTGCACACGTAAAGAGCTTCCCAGACCGGACCCCTCGCAAGACAATGAACGGTTCGATTCCCCTACTAACTAGGGCGAAACCTATTGTTCTTTTCTCTTCTCTCCCCCTCTCTCTATATCTGTCTCTGCCTCTTTATCGCAGACTCGCCTCCTTGCCGAGCCATTGGGGGGGGAGCCTTAATAGCAAGCGACCGTTATGCCGCGGGAAGTGGCCACTATGTATCCACTGACTACCTAGGTGCTTACCCACCTGTACCTACCTATCTGGCGGCTTCGCCTAATTTACCTGAAAGGTCGGTTGTCACGGTCGTCGCAGACGTTCCCGTGGGGAAAATGACAGGGTGGGGCGACGGGTACACATGCACAAGCCACTCTCACTACTACATACTACAACGGGTCGCGACACAGCCCATCAATTTACCCAAGGGAGCTTTCTCCCACACCGCATTCCTGCGCGGGACATAAATCTCTTGTCGCTTTGAGGTGCCCGCTCGAGATAGATTGCGTATCCCCTTACAGCCCATGACGTTGTCGACTGGCCTTGGCAGCTTCCGCATCCACCGTATCGTAAGTGATGCCGGCGGAGAATTGCCAAGAAACCTTCCGGGACTGTTCTCTCGACTCGCTTTAACGATCACGACCGTTATACCCACCCCAACGGCCAAGGAAAGATGGAGAGTCAGTCAGTCGTTCGGTCGGTCAGTCAGCTGCGAGGGCTACTAGAAACAGTGCCGAGCATCTTGGCGGGACTTATTGTTGCAACAATAGTCGAATATAGACATCAACTCATCCCCACCGGACTCGTCGAGCAACAAAGAGGAGAGCATTGAGACGGAAAGCGCATGAATTGAACAAGGAAAACGGAAGAAAGAAAGAAGGAAGGAAGGAAGGAAGGATAGAAACCAACACAACATAACCCTAAAGAAGATAATAGAGAAAAGGAAGAAGGAAAGAAAGCAAGTCCCTCGCCTTGGCATCCAAAAAAACAAACTTTTCTCCAACTGGTCGCAGAAGCCTTGGCTCTTCTTCTTCTCGACTCTTCGTCTTGGCCCCCACCCTCTTAGTCACTCTGGTAACTCTGCCATGTCGCGCACGAACTAGCGATACTCAACTCCATCTCATCTTTGGCTCAAACACTTTCTCACTAACGACCACAGTCAGCAGGACTCGTGAACATGTCAACCTACTCTGACAGATCGAGATCGATCCCGGGCCCCGACCTGACTGGCCCGTTGATCCTTGGCTCCCTCCTCCCAACATGGCGGTACACCGAAAGCCAAGAAGCACCTCAGCCTCAACCGCGTCGTGCACCGAACCCAGAGGAAATGCTAGCCGATGTTCGGGAACCCGAGCCCGTCGCGTCCGCTCACTCATCACGTCAGCCCAAGTCAGCAAACCTAGAGCCCCAAGCTTCGTCCCAACAACCCCTTCTTGATCGCGGCCACATGAAACCGTCAGACTGCCCAATTTATCCGGCCACCAAAACCCTGGCTTTTCCCCCTCGTGCCCTTCATCCACGGGCTCCCGCTGCCGTCGCCGCCGCCGCCGCCGCCGCCGCCCCGGCCACCCATCAACTACCGAGATGGCGTCATGCCGTCACGCTGCTTGTCGCATCTTTCTTTCCACCTCCTCCCATCTTCCTCACCGATCGTTTCCGACTTCATTTTTCGCCACGGGCCGGCAAACATCGTCCCTCCCCCATCGGCCCTGGTGACACGGCAAGGTAAGCCTGTAATGAAACATCGTCGCCCATCCTCGGAAACGGCTAGCGGCAATTGATCCACGGCATCACGGACAACGCACGCGACCGCCAGGCCGAGGACATATGTTTCACCAAACGCCCCCTCCCTTCTTTCCTTCTTCTTCTCCTTCATTGCCGACTGTCCTGCCAAGTGCCGGCCCCATGTCCCGAGAGCACATCGCCCCTCATCCCCGTATTCGGGCCACAAAGCTTGCCGTACCCCCCCCCCCCCCCCCCCCCCCGAGAGACCGGTTTCCCGTCTCTGATCATGTATGGAATAATGTCAGATGCCATCTTGTTACACGACTTCAGATGAGAGGGAAATCTGCTTTTCACTGGTGTGTCGTGCTGCAGTCCTGACAACAATTGCATCAGTGGGCGGTACCCTGATCCCGCCCATCGCCGTAACCGCATCCTCTCAAGAAACCACCCCGATCTTTCCTTCTCCCTTGGCTTTTTATTGTTTGTTTCGCGTGTTTGCGGCCTCGACATTTCTCGTAGCCTATAGCTGCGGGTCCCAGAATCAGACCAGCCAGTCAGCCAAGCCCAGCCGTTTCTTGAACATTCAGCCGCATACGCCCTCGTCAAGGTTTCTGTCCTGGTTTCTATTTTCGACTCGTCCGCGGCAACCTCGGAATGTCAGCCAGACAGAGTAAGCGCACCATCCGGACGCGGCCAATCGCTGCCGCCCAACCGTGAATCTACATCCAGAAGCCAAACGGATCCTCCATTCTCCTAAATCCTGCTTCACCTTCCCTTCCCTTCTCCCCCCCCCCGCTCGGACCGAACGAAAACGTAGAGAGAGAGAAAAAAAAAAACCCCAAGACAATTCCCCACGCGTGATATATGCATATGCAAGTTGGCATCCGTAATTGCTAGGCAAGTACCCCCGCCCGGAAGGGCACCCTTCGACTTCCCTATTCGGCAGCAGCTGTCAACTACCCTGGTCGGTTTGAGCGACTGCTACCTTACCTCAGGATACCCACGGCGGCTAGCAAAATGGCGGGATACCACCGCGGAACCCAAATTGCCTCTTACCTCTCTACGAAGTAATCTCCTTCTGCGCATCATCTCGCGTTATTGTCCACTCCATACACCCTGAACCGCCCGAAGAAACCTAATAATGGAATCGTCGCCCCATCTGCGTTGAGAGCGGACGGACTTTCCGCATGCCATCACATTCCTTTGTCTACTTGTTCACTGGTCCACCTTATTTATGACTTGCTAAGTCAAAGCCGCCACAGGTCCTGGCATGGTGGCATTCATTCAGTTACGCTCACAAATCTGTGCCCACTCCCACGATGCCATCCTCCTCCCCCCGTTTGTCTTGTTTCTACAAATGCTTTGTCCATTTTCCCCATAGCGTGCCAAAAATAAGTTTTACAATTCTATGTTGCTAAGTAGGCCTGCATGCAAGGGCATCGTTCACAGGTATGGTCCGGGGCCTAACATGGACCTCATACCCCATCGCACCCTTGACGCAACAATAGCGGTCTACTAACTAGCCGTACGTGGCATGTCAATCACCATCCAACGCCCCCCTTACGATCAAGAGCTGGCTGGTCGGCTGGCTGGAAACCAGACCATCGCACTCCACGCCCTTGGCCGTTGCTGTCCTCGCTGAGACACAGGAAAACTTTTACCCATCCCTGGGTCCGTAAAACGCCGACGCGCCACTGAAATGCAAGAAGCCCTCATCACCCTGTATAGCGCTTTGTGCTGCCGATCCCAGAATTCGTCCCAAACGAAGACTCCCCATTCCCCAGACTCCTTGCGTGGTCGGACTGTTTCCGACCATGTCGCACAACGAAAACGTCTTCAAGCAATGCCGTAGTCATTCAATTCATCAAAGGCATGTATGTGTTGTCTTTCCGTCACTGGAGGTCCGACTCTGGCAGGTCCCCAGCAGCCTGCATGCTGATATCTGCAAGGCTCTCCAGCTGCTCCGAGGATCCGCATGAGTTCTCCCAGTCTTGACCGCCGTAGTCAGCCATCATGATTCTGAGCCGAGGGTGTCCGTGTCACTGTAGAGTCCTGGAGACATACCGGAACCCTCATCCTCCAATTCTTCCACTGTCATGCGTCGCAGCGGGTCAACAACGGCTAGGTCACACGTTAGCAGCCGTCCAGCCAAGGCTTGATCCGTCCGTGACTTACAGCGGTAGAGCTCTTGGAAGTCTTCGTACATGATGAGCCCCATCCCGTTGACTCCCACCCCACTTGTGAAGAAGGGCTCACACTTGGCAATCACGGCGAGTAGGGGTTCAGTGGACTGCTTGGCCACCTGGGCGCGCCTCTGCACAACATGCTCTCTAAGGTAGATGAGGCAGTTCATAGCAAGCCTCCGGGCCACCGCGTTCAACAGAACCGCTATACCGTCGTCGTTGTCCTCGGCCGCTTCGTGGTTTGCAAACCACACAGACAAGAACTCCTCCGCCCCCCGCCGCACCTCTGCGTCATAGTAGCCCAGCAGCGAGGGTGCCCATATGGGAATGTGCTCCATGTATAGGGGGTAACGAGCGGCCCTGACCTCTTCTCGTTCGTCCTGCAGGCTGGCATAGGCGAGTCTGAAAAAGTCGAGAAAGGCTTTGCCGTCCGTGTTTTGCAGGTTTCTACACTGGTAGGCGATGTGCCTGAACAGTGCCTGGACGCAGCCTGCATTGCTACTTTCCTCAGAGAACAACACGGCGGCTCTGATGTAGGGTGTCATCGAATACTGTACCACTTGGCCTGTAACCATGCTCTTAATAGCTAGAAATACTTTTTGGTTCATGTCAGGGTTCAGATGAATCATGCGCTTGATGATGGACGCTGTGTAGATGGGCTCCTGGTCGAGGTCGACCAGCTTCTTCACAAAAGTGCTGCCCGTTCCTTTGTTCCATTCGTGGGTGAGAACATTAACTTCGTCGGGCGTCCAAGACATCTTGGGTGTCTGATTCTCCATGTAGATCTCCAAACGCATCTCGTGTGTTTCCACAATGGTGTGGATGTCTATAACGTCCTCCAAGGCGTTCATGAAGTGGTCGATGAGCTGGATGATCATCTCATACGAGGTGGAACGCGTATTGTTGATCCGGCGGATGACATTGGTCAGCATTCGGGCGTAGTTGTTGGGAAGGTCCATGTTGGTGTCAGCGAAGACGATGCGCAAGACTCTGAAGAACCAGTCCTCCGACATAAGCACGGCCGTCTCCAGCGGACCCATCTGTGCGAAGGCTAGGATGGTTTGGAAGACCTCGGGCCACGACCGGATATTAGCGTGGAAGTTGCTCCAGAGTGTGTCGAACATTTGCACAACTTGCATCATGATAGGATCCTCGACCATGTCTGCCTGAGACAACCCCCAGATTTCGGGCTTGGAGGTCTTAATATGTCGCAAGGCTGTGATGAACAGGCATCCGACCGAGTATCTGACGTTGCAATCGGGATTTCTCTGAAGAAGCTGCCGGAACGCCTCATGCCTCTCCTGGAAATATTCGAAGAAGTCCACGGCGCACTTAACACAGTTGACGACGGCATGTTCAATCTCATCTCGGAACAGCTCGAAGTAGGGGAGATCCTTGGTCCGGGAGGCAACCTGGTCGAGGTGGCCGAGAAGCATGTGCATGGCATGTTGCTCGATTATATGCATGCTCGAGCAATTGCCACCATTGCGCATCTTTGCATGTTGGAACATGCGGAGCACAAACTTTGAGTGGCTCGGGTCATAGAGGCAATGTCGTCGAAGTAGGACTGCATTCTCGCCGTTGATGTGGTCGGCAACCTCGGCGGGTACGTCCATTTTCAGTGGAGTAGTCAGCGAGAGGCTCTGCAGCTTCTCCTGCTCCGCTCTTAGGACCGAGGACCGTTGGTAGAAAAGCATATATGCGCTGTACGTCTTGTCGTAGGAAATGCCAGTCTCAGCAGACCCATCCGTGCCGCCAAAAGTCGACTCTTCCATTTTTGCTGGATCCCATGGGGAAACGACGTCGTCGTTGAACTCAAACCACGTCTCCGAGGAGGCCGCAGTCGGCCGCTCTCGGATGTACGAGTAATAATGGCCAGACTCTGCCGTGCCTGCGTGAACGAGTACGCCGACCAGCTCGAAGATGTCCTCTTCGCCAGACTCGGACGGAGATCCCAAATGGTCGATGGTGTACGGGCGCATGTCAATCTTCGTGGGAAACGAGAAGTGATCGTTAATCTTGCTTCGCATCAAGGTCCGGAGATTGAAATCAAACCGTTTGAGATGGAAGATCAGATTGTCCGGGATGTCCTTCAAGCAAGCCCTTTTGACCGCATCCACGTGCCGGTCGCAGCTCGAACACTTGTACTTATTGTCTCCTTCCATGATTTCGCCGTCGACGTAAGCCTGGAGACTATCCTGAAGCGTGCTCTTGCCCTTGATGTCGCACTGGATGGCCGAGAATGGCTCAAGCCGCTCGGAGATGTGATCGCATTCCTTGGAAGCAACCTGCTGGACAAGTTGGCCACCATAGAAGGACCTCAAGGCCTTTCTGTCATCCGCCGTCGAGAGCTGTCCTTCCCAGCGATCGAAAAGCAGATTGTAGAACTCGTCGACGTCCATCTGGTTATGCACATCGATGATTGTCTCCTCGTACGTCTTGATCGAACCGACAAGCAAGCTGGGGTCGATGAATTTCCGAGAACTTTCTTGCATGAACGCAAATAACTTCCGGGTTTCTCTGAGCAGCGCATGCGTGTTGGCCTGGCTTGGAACGCGAGCGTTCATCATGAATTGACGGAAGCCTGTGTTCATGAAAAGCTGGGTAAACAGCGAGTTGAGATAACATGTGTTGGACAGGTTGCGAAGTCCAGCATACCCGCAGGGCGCTCTCACGGCAGACATTCGGTCGAACTGAGGCTGTAGCTCGTAAAGGTACGGATCTTTATCATCGTGTAAGCCATTTTGAGAAGTAGTGGCAGACTGAGGGGACATACCAATGTCGAACTCGTCGAACGGCACAAGCTTTTCGAGGTCCTCGAGCATAGCTGTAAACTCGCGGTCTCGATCTCTGACGAGGTCGAAGATGATTTTGCACAGAATCGATCTGGTTTCGGTCGATAGGATGCAGGATCGACTTGAAGTCAAGCCATGCTGTCCAGGAGGGGGGAACAAGTGTCTCCAGAAGAGCTTTTTCCCGAGGTTTCTGAGACTGGTCAGCATTGCCTGCCTCGGTCGTTTTGGCCTCTGGCTGACTTACGCTGGCAGGCTGTTCTCCAGATCCACATCGGACCCTTCATTCAGGCAACTTTGTAAGAGCTTCACCAAACCGTCGGCTACGGCGTCTTTGTATCCACCATGGCCCAGTTGCTTGGATTTATTAGCAGAGGGGTTCTGAAAGATAATAGCAGTATTACTCACTTCCAATGATTCGTGCTCGAGAAGAAGCCTCCCACAATCGCTTGCCAAGGCAGGGATGTCGACAGCGAAGGCATATTCGAAAGCCATTTCGCGCAAAAGTGACAGAGACAGGCCAAAGACTTGTCTGCATTGCTTTGGGGACTTCGCCGCCTTTGGAACAAGCCGGTGAAGTATCGGCCAGAGAAATTCGCCGAGCGAGATAGTGTTCGGGGAAAACCTGTTGGTTGTGTCAGACGGCAACGAATGAGTGTCAGCCAGATGGACATACTCGTCAGGAGAGATGACCCTTTCCTCTAGGAGCTTGGCGATATTAGCACGGATTGCCTCGGAAGGCTCATCCAAAAGCAAAACTCCCAACAACTCCTCAAGACCTGGCACAGCTTTCAAGGATGTCCAGAAAGCAGTGTCGACGCAAGCACTGCGAAGAACTGCAGAGAATGTCGATGCGATCAGGGGAATAAGGCTCGTGTGGCCTTGCGCGGTGACCGCCGACCAGAGGATTTCAATGAGGCGGTCCGCAGGTGCTATGGCCACGGGACTGGGCGGAATGTCGATTCTAATGAGATCAGGATCTGTGGTAGTGTTAGAAGGTTTCATGATCAAGAGACTATCGCATGTTACCTTTAAAAGTCAGCCCGTATACGTTCATCAAGTTGAACGTTAACCGGTTCTTTAGAGCTTCCGAGGCACAGCCTCCAAGAATGTCACGGTCAGAAATTGCCGCCACAACCAAGGCTCTCACTCGGACCAGCGCTTCGAGGTATGTTCCAACTCTGGCATCATCTGCATCGGATATGGATGACTGCACTTCTCTCAGCCGACGACCAGCCGTGGCGATATACTCTGTCATGGCGTATAGGGCATAAAGCGACTTGAAAGGCTGCCCCGAAGGGAAAATCTGCTGATACGATGTGTCTGGTGAGTCGAAGGCAGCTAGCATGTGGGCGTCGGCAGGTAATTTGGTAAGGAAGGAGTGAATCTGCGGCGTTGTCAGCTTGATAGCACTTGATACGAAAAAAAGAAGAAAAAGAATGCATACTTCTGCGGCAATAACTTCCTGCATACTCAAGTAGTTCCATAGCTGGTCGAAGTGGCCCAGGATCTCAATCTCCAAAAGGGAGGCGCCTGGCTTGATCCTAGATGCCATGGCTGTGCCAGTCTCCTCCCGTTTGACCAAGATAAGGCCGTCGTGAATTTTCAATTCTTCGAGAGACCGGCAGACATCGCTTTCGTTGGGAGCAAAGGGGTGACCCCGGTAGTAGATCCGATAGTTGTCGAAGCCAGTCGCTTGGCGAATGCTCGCCAGTAGAGATGCAGCGGTGTTCTGTCTCCCAACCTCGAGGGGCATGATGTCCGTCTGAGTGTTGCCATCGAAAGACTGAAACTTGAGCTCAGCAGGCTCACCTTCGGCCACGCTTGGCGAGCCAGGCGTCAGAGCACGAAGATCGGGTGCAGAGAAATGAGCCTTGGCCTGGTGCGCATTCAAAAAGTGCCGAAGGACTGCAAGCGATCGCGTGAAAATACGTTCCTGTTCCAGCATCTGCTCTTCGGTTGCCACAATAACCATAGGCTCATCGTCACCGCTCCGAGTGCCGTCGTTGAAAGCCTCCAGACTCTTCGCAGAGTCTTCCATTTGCTTAAGGCAGCGAGCTACAAGTCCCAAGTGAACCTGACAAGCCCTGTGGTGTGGGTACGCCAAAATGGACTCACTGTCGACATAAATGTCGCCCACAAGCGTCTGGATCGCGGCATCTACGAGTGTCATCTCCTTGGCCACGATTGCGGTATCCTCGGCATCAAGAATCATACGCCAGAGTTGCTCGACCCCACTCTGCGCAAGACTTTCACCATCATCCAAGATGATATCGTTAATCTCGTTGACGCGAGGGAGCACTGCATTCCTTACAAACTCCAGAGCACCTCCGCAGAGGCAGTCACGAGGGAGATCGGGCAGATACTCACTGAAGCAGACCGAAAGAAACGGGTTTCCGTGGGCCGTCTTTGGGGTGGCGTTGAGGATCTTCCATCCATCGTCCCGATCGTCCTGGCAGGCGGCGCCATGACCAACAAGCATGTCCCACAGGCGCGGTCCAAGGTCCGATGTGATTGTGGAGGGCTCGTGGACCAGGATGTTTGCAATGAGGTCCCTGCGGGGATGGTTGAAGGTTCCGCCAATAATCCTTCGGATGCCAGCTTGCTTGCCTTGCTTGATCGCATGCTCAAGCTCGTCCACCAGCAGCAGGGTCAGGTTGTGTTCCGTGGTCAGCACGCGCAACTCTGAAGCCACAGCGGGTCGCAAGGCCACCGAAAGGCACGACAAGGTTCCTAATGTCGTGGGCGTTTTCGAGGCTATGTCCTCGATGCAGTCGTGATAGATTTCTCTGCGAATTTCAGGCTCAATACCGTCTCTTACGAGCTCTCTCAGTTTGTTCAAAGCAAAGTGGTGAACGTCGGGATGAGCAACAGCCGAATCCGAAACGTACACCGAAGACTCCCGCAGAAGCCGGATGCAGATCCTCAGCGGCAGGACGCTCTGGGTCTCTCCCGCGAGCTGAATTTTAGTTTGGAGGGCTCTAAGGCTGTTCTCGCAAAGGCCTCGTACGGGTGGGGTGAAGTTGTCTATCGGTAAGGTTTGTAACTTTTCGCACAAGTAGAGCAGCTCCTCTTTGTAGAACAGATTGACGATGGTCGTTGTCATACGAATCAGGGCTTCTGACACACGTGGATCCTGCGTGGTCGTTATTGTCTGCCAGAGCAAGTCTGTTTGCTCGCTGCGGTAGAAGCGGGTGACTACCAAGAAGCCCACGATGTTACCGCTCTCAACGGTGATTTCGGGATGACAGGTTGGACCCAGAATGTAGTCAACCAGCTTGGTCCCAAGAAGATATTCAGCCACGTAGTTCAAAAAGAGCTTGCAGTCCTCGTCTTCGTTGTCATTGTACCTTTTCCAGCATGTGACCAGATCATGACACATGGTCGAGGCCGCCATGACACGCAGTTGCATCTGGCTTGACGTGATCAGCTTCCCAAACACGCCCAATCGCCATTCCGATGAGATGGCCTCCGGCGTGAACCGATGGGGCAGGTCGGGATGTGCTTGCCGGTGTGCCTTGAGCCGCTCTATAGCCAGCCTATGGTCGCTGCCCAAGGAGATTTTGAGGATATCCGATAAGGAAGTAACAAGACCCTGCGTCATTTCGTTCGAGAGTTGTGTCACCTTGTTTTCAATCGTTCTGTGCAAGGCATCCGCAACCAGGTGGTACAAGGTATGGCCGTCCGCCAGGCGATTTTTCGCGATTTCCAGACTCGAAGAAGGGGCATCAGGGTGGATGCCTTGAACAGTCTTGTGGAGGATAAGGGCCGCAACGTTGCAAATGGGTGAAAGCACATCCATCAGATGCTGGTACCTCGGCGCGTTGCTCACATGCATCTGGGCGAGCTTGATCAACCCTTTGATGCTTCCGGTTCCCGACTGAAATGTATTCATCATCTCCGTACCAAGCATCTCTTCTTCATGTAGTTGACCATTCTGGATCCGATTGTGTTCTCTTCTGGCGAAGGATGTTAGTGGCTGTAAAAACCGGTAAAGAAGAAACTCTGGTTGGCGGGGCTCGTCATCTGAGGATGCCTGGAATGCCTGAGCAGTGAGGAGATCGAATTCAACGAAGTAGGCGGCCATTCTCGAGTAGGCTATGAAGAAGTCGGCGATGATCTGCCGGCATTCCGCAGAGGCAGGTTGCCTGTGAGAGCAGTGTGAGTAATTCTGCTTCACCTCCCTTCACTAGCGGGGTGAGCTATGTACTCACTTTCTGTTAGACAACACCCATGCAATTTCTGGAAACATGTGCCAGAATGTATGATAAGCCACTTGGGACTCGTAGGCGGCCCTCATCCCAACGATACCGACGTATTTTGTGTACTGGATTGTCCAAGAACGCAGAGACTCCAAAACACCCTCCTCTGGCGGCGCTTCTGGACCCGGTCAGAACCTCAAGTAGACCCCATTCACCAATGCAAGTTGGACTTACGAGAAGAGAGGTAGTTAACCAGCTTTCCAACCGTTTCCGGCAACGACTCGTGGGCATCATGGTATGGGAAATCGGGCGTCGGATCAAAGGACGCCGCATCCTCGCGAATGATGCCGACCTCCTCGTCGAACGGAGCATCCTGATCGTCGTCAGGTATGGCAAGCACTTCCACCTCGGGACTCTGCGGGCTTGAAGAGGAAGAAGGCGGGGTGTCTGTGATCTCAATGGGAGCTTGACCCATGTCAACTTCTTCCAAGTCTTCTAGACTCTTCTTCTTGGACCTCCCTGGTGGTTCGGCCAGCCGGCCTGGCAATGTATGCGGCGTCGGGGAGACGGGGGATGAGGAGAAAGGCTCGGGCTGGGCAGTATTGCGCAGATTTATCGTGACCCGGCTAGAGGCAGGCTCGGTTGCGGGCTCTGGTGCAGTCGACTGCCGCTCTGGCGTCTGCGGCGTGGAGGGGCTGATGTCTATTTTCATGGCAGAGTCTTGTGTGGCGGCGTCGTCGGCGTGGTGTGTGTTGGAGGAGCTTGAAGTATCGCGGTCCGACTTTGTGGTTTCGACAGAGAGGCTGCGAGAGCCGCCAGACATCGAGGTTCGGCGCCGTTTCCGAGAAGAATCGTCGCCTTCGGTAAAAGGGTTCGGTCTCGTTGAGCTAGGCTCTGAGGAGACCGCGCGTTCTGCTTCCGAAGATACTGTAGGCTGGTCCATCTGGCTGGTGCAATGAGGTGTTGCAACGCGGGTCCTGGAGCTCCAGAGACGTCACTCGGGCGCGAGAGACGACTCGGCAGCAGCTGGCCAAAATTAGCATGTGGTTTTTTCCCCTGTCCGTAGTGATGATCAAGGCGGATGGCAAAGTACGTGTGGGCAGTGATGATGTGCTAATTTTCTGAAGTGAATGAAGACTGGTGACAAGGCTTGGCGGTAGTTCCGTCCTCGAGGTAGAATGGAGGATGGGGAAAAAAGAATGAGAGAGTGGCGCTAAGATGTCGAGGTGACGGTGACGATAGCGAGGTGCAGGATGAGGTCTGTTGAAGGTGGGCTTTTGGGGGGAGCAGGGATTGCACGTCGGCCTTTTTCGGTGCTCGCAGGAGACGCGGTGCAGTGCGGGCGCAGACGTGAACAACGTGAATCCACTAGAGCTGGGAGCTGTACTTTGGAGGGGGAGGGGGGGCGGATAGTTGCTCGTCTGTTTGGAGACGGGCTGATGGGGGGCGGAGGGATGATGAGGTAATGCCTTATGACCTCAAGGGCCGGGAAGACGGGAATGAGGACTTTTTGTTACTAGGTTTTGGGTGAGGTGTGCAGGTAAACGGTCCAGGTACGAGAAGTACCTTTTTCTTTTCTTTTTTCAGGGTGGGCGACGGTGGGCGATGGAGCTCTGAGCTTACCTTGGCTTAGCTTATCAGCGAGTTGCTAACGTGGAAAGGCCCGGGCACGAGATTGGCTTTCCATGGATGAAATAGAAAAGGATACCTGGAAGGGGAGAAGAAAAAGAAGAAAAGTTAGATCGCTACCGGGTATTTCCTCTTATTAAAGCACGTCATTCCAGGCATAGAGAGAAGAAAAGGTTACTGCACCTCTCTGAGCCTCCGATTTGGGACAGCTTCCGTCGGCAAGTAGTTTGATGCTGCCAGAAGCTTTTGGACGATAATTAAGGCGCTGAAGTTGACGGGTGCGGGGTGACGGTGCCGTGTAAAGTCGATGTGGTGTGGCTCAATGGTGAACACCGAAAGTGGAGACGGGGGGTTTCTGAGGCGACTGAGCAAGGCAGGCGAGAAGGTATCTACCTACCTGCAGGTGAAGTGAGAGGTTGAAGAAGGAAGGCGCATCGCGTTCAGACGATGACCAAAGACGAAAAAAAGAAATGGAGGACGGGTAGCCCTGTATGAGACCAAATTACGTCAGTTGCCTCGGTTTTCTTTTCAAACCGCCTATTCGACTTTTCGGTGCTGCTCTTCCCTCAAGGTGCCAAGCTTGAGCTTTGCTGACGAGGTAATGTTGCGACAAGTCAACAAGCCCTGCAGCTGTGAGCTGCACAAACGATGGGCGAAAAGAAACTGTCAACCCTTGGATTATCGTCTGGGGTGAACAAGGAGGTTGACTCCCTTCTCCGTAGGGATGCTGGTTTTCTTTGACAAGATGCGTGGCTCTGGTTCATATGAAGGGGAAGAAAGCGATGGATGACCAGCAGCTGTCTTGCACTACTGCCTGGTACCAAAGAAATTCCAGAGGTTTTTCGGGTGGCTTGTTCCTCCAGGGTGACGGATGTGCTCGCGCTTATGGCCGTGGTTGGCCGAAACATAGGGACAGATGGTCCGCCAAACACCTCTGGGACTTGGCCGCCAGAACCAACCCAAAGCTAATATCTGCGGCTGCGGCCTGTGTCAATCGGTCTGACTCGTCTTACCTCTCTCTCTAGGCAGCCTGGGAGAGTCAGTGGTGTCATGAATTGGTAGCATCTGATGGGTCACGACAGGAGCTAACTGCTCGATTGGAAAACAGTCAATCCCGGGCAGGCAGCAAATCTAGAGGGATGCCTGTTCGCCCCGTCCTCTTCCTGCCTGCCCATCCCGAGTATCTGTACCTTGCGTAATTCAATGTGGTTGAGCTAACGCTTTAATCAACGCTTCTGTTCTCTTTCTTATGGGGCCCGGAATGCTTTTGCTTCGTAAACGACAGGATGACACTTTGGGGCCACCTACCGACGAATGTATTATCCACCAACAACGTCCTATTCATTGATACTAAACGTAGCACTCGGCCTCTCGCCGCCCCTTGCGCGGCTCGTCATCCCGCCGCTGTCCGTGCTCCCCGGGAGACTTGGAGCTCATGCGGGGCCGGCATCTCTGTGGCCCTTGTCCCTGCTGCGTAGGTATGTAGCCTGTAGGTACCTCGACGACCCCAACACTCATGTTTCCGTGCTTGCTGTGGCTGACATCCAGCGAGGAGACCAGAGTGAAACGCTGTGACAGGTCATGTAGTCTTTTGAGAGTACCTATGCGATTAAATCTCTTGACAGCGCAGTGTGTGATCAACCGCATATTATTCTCAGCGTCCTGATATCGTTGTTAAAATCTTTCGTTGATCTAAAGCTCTCATCTGTTCGTCTCGTTCCCCCCCCCCTCCCCCAATGGTCTCATGTGGCGCTAGTGCCACCCGTCCATCTCGCTTATCGGCCAGGCTATCGGCCGCTAAGGCCAATTAGCTTAATCCGTCGTTTGTGACTGACGAGTTTTGTTTTTGCCTTTCATTTCGTCCACGACTGGCACACACCGGCATAGATGGTTTAATCCAAACCTGTGCCGTCTGATTGGAACGCCTACTATTGCCCAGGAGCTCAACATTACGGAGCGTAACTCACACCGTCTTGGCATTGGCCGTTCTCCGCATTTTGCAAGCCCTACCGTTGTTGCCTTCTCACGGAGACGATCAAGGGTTCGCCATATACTTTGCAAGCTCAATCCCCACTACCACCAACGTCCTGCCAGACAGGTGGTGTTGGCTCCATCCGGCCCCCTGCTTGTCTTAACGCTGGAAGAGAAGAGAGACGTATTTTGTGGTTCCATACCAAATTACATTATGGCCGCGCAATTACGGAAGAAGCTGGTGTATTCGGTTGACACTCCCTTCTCAGCAACACAATGGTATGATATCATTGCCCCCAATATCGTCGTTCTCGTTAATGCTAATGGGCGATAGGCCAGAGATTACTCCTGAAGATCAAGACGTAATTTTAGAATTACTCTGCAGGTACGTGTTGGACCTTCCTGTGTCACCCAACAAACAACACTTTTCTCCTTCAGACCTCTGAGCTCGCTGACATGGAATACAGCCTTTTGTCTCCTCTAGGCCAACATCGCCAGAGGCATGTCAAGCCCTCAGAAGGCAAGCGAGCGGCCAAGAGGAAGATGAAAGAAGTTGGGATCGATTCGAAGGGACCAGCCAATAGCGAACGCCCGCCTATGCCTGATCTCGCCTCCTTCGTTGACGTCGGTCTCACTAGTATCACTCGTAACCTAGAAAGGCTTGCAACAGGACAGTACACCTCGGAAGCCTCCGGCGATAACAACACCTTGGCAAGCTTACCCACTCCCTATTCCGTTGTATTTGTCGCTCGCTCAGGGCAGTCATCCGCTTTCAACTGCCAACTGCCCCAAATGATCGCTGTTGCCTCCAAGAGCTCGTCAACTGCTCCTCCGATCCGGCTTGTGGGGTACTCGAAGCCATGCGCCGAGAAGCTAAGTGCTTGCCTTGGCATTCCAAGGGTTTCGTCGGTCGGCGTCCGGGTTGGTGCCCCTATGTCAAAGGCTCTCGTCGAGTACGTTCAACAGCACGTCTCGCCCGTACGAGTGGCGTGGCTTGAACAGGCCGAGGAAGCCATGTATCGTCCTACGCAGTTGAAGATAGATGAGAAGATGATTCCAGTAAAGAAGGGCGGCAAGGCTTGATTTCCACCGTCATGGTCACTAGTCGTCGGGATTGGAGAGGTGACATCTATAGGGCAGGCTTCAATAGTATACCCCTACCAGACTGTAGCTTTCTGAGAAGCACCACGTTGAGAGGCTATTTTCCTTACCCCTTGATGGGTTTGTTTAACATGAAGGGCTTCATAGCCGATTTCATTCGTGGTTACCACTCACCTGTAATATTTCTTGCTCGTTGCCCTTTGTGCCTACGACACACTTCATTGTCTTCCATCTATCAATTTTGTAACTTACAAGATTCACGGAATGCTTTCTAGGAGTGTGTGCATATACTTATGGTGTCATGGCATGCTGATACCACGCTTATATCATACGTAATCTTGTTATTTGATATCCCCTTGTCCAAATCTAACCAAGACATTCGCGCCTCTAAAGCTGGCAATCACTTGCCTCCTTCACAATACCTAGCATGTCCACTTGCTGCCAGTACTCCAATAGCTGGGTGCCTGATCAAGTGGTTGCAGACAACCCGATAGGAATGCGAGAAGGTACGGGAATGGTGCTGCTCTGCTCTTTCCTGCCATCCTTATATTCTCTTTTTGTTTAGCGCCCGCACAATTCTTTTGGCGAGTCTACCTCAGACGCACCTTTCCAATCATTGAATCACTAACTCAATTTTCCAATCAGTTACTTGGGAAAGAGCTTCTCCATACTCTCTCCTCTGTTGTCTCCTTCTCTTTTTCACTCAACCTTTTCTCTGTGGCCTTCTCATCTTCCCTTCAACACCTGTCTCTTCTCTTTTATCAACATTGTCGAAGGGTCGAGCTCTTCCACAATTTCCATGATCCCCAGACACTCGAGGCCAGGTTTCTAGAATCCGTAGAACCACAACACAGTCCCTTCTAGGATTTTCATCAAACAACGGAGCAAACAGTAAGTTACATTCCCTGCTGTTTCATTTACCCCATCATCAACTTCTGTTGCTTTCATGATGCTTCTTCAGCATGATTCCTTCCCTATTCGTATCATCATTGCTTCAGTTTTCTCTACATATAAGCCTTTGCTCCTTCTATGTGTTCAGTTCAGCCAGTACCGACGGCACATCACCAAGTAGTACATCATAAGGTATTGGAGCTAACACCAGTGCTAAAAATAGGAAACTGGCACAGACAGAACCTCCGCGCCAACATTTCAGGTCATCAACACGATGGACAGAGCCGCTCAGATGGAAGCGGCCAGAATTCTGGCACAGGAGTTCAAGTCGGGAGGTAACACCCGACGTGCCGGTGGTACTCGAGGCGGCGGCAGAGACGTGTTGAGGGGCGGAGGTGGTACCTATGGTGTTGGAGCTGGACGATCCTTGACCAAGCCTCGATCCGAGTTCTCTCGCAGCCCGATGAGTAAGTCATTTCCCAAGATGTTGTATCGCGCTCTTTGCTAATATTGCCAGATCGTCCCATGCCTATGCATTCCCGCTCAGCTCTCTCAGTGGGTAATGCCAATAAAACTCCTACTCGAATCAACCCATCTCTTGCTGGCTGGCTTGGTGATCAGAGTACCGGCCAAAACATACCCGCGAAGTCTACTCCTGCCGCTACCAAGGAGGCCACTGTCACGGTTCCAGTCGATCTCAAGCTTGCCAGTTGGCTTACCAACAGCAACCAGTCTCAGTCTCTTCCAGCCAAACCGGTACCGAAAGCCAACACCACTCTTGGGCCCAACATCTCGGCTTTAGGAGTTGTCCCTGCTGTCCAGCCTGCTGCCGTTTCCCAGAATCAAAGCATTCTGAAGGGGCCGATGCGTGTAACTGCTCAGACTCAGAGTCCCACATCTTCAACCATCAATAAGACTCACCGGGATGGGCAAGAGGTTTCGGATGGCCCCTTCGAGAAGAAGGCTACTTCAACATCGAAGGGCAATGGTCTTGACAAGAGCATACGGACCAGCGAGAACTCATCAACAGTTCATACACAGGGTGAAATCAGTGTCCAGGGTTCAGTCGTCGACACCGCCGTGAGCAGCCAAGCTTCTAATATAACCCAAGGGCAGCAGCCAGTCTGTACCGCTGCCGCTGCATATGACGGACAGGTTTCCCGGCTCCTTGAGACGGAGTACCCCAAAAACAAGACTCAGAAGACTGCCAACAAAACCGGCAGCAACCTTCAACTCCGCCAGCAGCCAAAGGTTGGTACCTTGCTCTGGGCCTTGCAACACATTGAAGCAGGATTGGAGCTCCCGGATCCGCAGCAGGTCAAGGCTCATGGATACCAACTCGATGGCAATGGCCCTCACATCCAGTCTGTGGCTGCCTCGCAATCAGATGACGTCAAGGGTGCCGTCTCACAGGGTCGGAATCAGAAGACCGAGAACGACGAGAACAGAAATGTCTCGACAGATGAAATCAGTTGCGACTGTCCCAAGAGAAGCCACCCTGTTACTGGCCTGGCGGCTTCGAAATACAATATGGACATAGACGGCGACGTGGGCATCTCTGGCATGTCAACTACAGCTCGCAACAAGTTTGCAGTCAACGTCATCCTTCATGACCATTCTAAGCCTGATTGCCCCGTTCTTCTGAGAACCAAGATGAAGTACCCGCTGTATTTTGGGGCAAACCCTGCTACAGCTGACAATGATGATGATGGATTGAATGTCACCGTCTGGGAGGGACCGCACCAAGCGACTCCCCCTACTCAGCAACTGCAGCAACCGTCCAGCAGAGGAAGAGGCATCATGTCTTCAATTTGGGCTGCTTAGGCCTTCCTGGAGAAAATACAGACTTGGTTAAGCTGTGTTAGTCATTGGAGCCGCTGAATCGTCGACCAGACGCTGGCGAACTAACATTAATTGTGGTATTTCGAAACACGCTGTCCTACTGCTGGGACAGCTGAATATGCACGGCTACATTTCAAGGCACTGATCAGGTCGAGATTGGACAAAATGTTTCCATTCAAAACGCCCTGCAACGTCACGGCCTTGAGAAGCTACCGAACAATGACTCACTTCTGATATGATCCCTTTTCGGTGTTGACGTTCGGCTATCATGGACGACCGACGAGACAGTGGGAGATTGGGGTGTGAGGCTTGGGTTAAAACGTAAAGAGGACCGGCACACCATGCGGCATTGCCCCAGTGCCTATAGGCACATAATCCGCTGCCAAATGTAAGCGAACTCTAGGTAGTCAATCAACGAAATACACAGGGACTGTTGACCGTGTCTACCGAATCATATGCCGCGGGCCACGAACTTGCAGACTAGACAGATGCCCCCGAACGACCTCACGACATCACACAACATGCTCTTTGTGATCCAATGCCACGCGGTCAATAGGTAGGTAGTAGACAGCACCGCCAGTATTTTTGATTTCCCAACTCCTTCTATGCCGTGTCTGAAATTGCTCTTTATGCGTTACTGATCTCTTTTTCTAATAGCTTGACGCCCTCCCGCACCTTGGGCGAGAAGTGCCTCCGCAGGAGCTCGCCCTCCCACACCGTCGTCGCGAACGGGTTGCTGCCCTCGACACTCTCGCTCAGCGCGTTGTAGGTGCCGTCGCCCTTCCTCTCCTCGGTGCGCCACAGCGACGAAATCTTCTTGCCATGCGTGTGCGAGACGTCCTGCATCAGCGCCAGCACCGCCTGGGCCGACTTGTCGGGCAGGTGGAGAGCGGCCGACATGAGCTGCTTGGAGAAGGCCGCCAGCCGCAGGGGTGGAACGGAGCGGATCTGGTAGGCGGGCAGGAGAACGGCCGTCAGGCAGCGGAGGAGCAGGACGGTGGTGGTCTGGAGGTTCACGCGGTTGTCGCGCGTCGCAGCGGCCGTCGCGGGCCGGATGTGGAGGGATTTGGAGGTCAACTCCAGGTCCGGATTCATGCAGAGCGAGGGGAGCGAGGCGAAGAGGTGGGTGACGAAGTAGGAGAGGTCGAGGTGAAGCTGGGCGCGGGAGTTGTGTGCGTCCTGGCCCGCGAGGAGGGCGAAGGCCGTCACGGCGCAGAGGAGGGCCTCGCGGGTGGTGTTGCGGGACGGGCCGCCATCATCGTCGTCGCTGGCGTCTGCTTCTTGGTTTTCCTCGCCGTCGGCGTCGACGGAGTTACCTTCGGCGTCTTCCTGAGCGTGACGAATGAGGTCCTTGAGAGCTTCCAACAAATCGCCGAAGAAGTCCTGATTGATAAGGTGGGCGTACTTCGCCAGGCCCTCGAGAACGGCGCCCATAAGATGCGGCACGCGCATCTTCAGGATGCGGAAGTAGGACGCGAAGACGAGCTTGAGCGTCTCTGACTGCATGCGCTCGCGCTCCTCGTGGCTGACGAGGGCATCGGCCTGCTGCATGTCCTTCTCGATAGCCTTTTGCTCCTTGAGCATCTTGCGCTCCTTCTTGGTGCGGAACTCCTTCTTGAAGCTCTTGCGGGATTGCGGTGGCGGCGCGCTCGGGTCGTGCTCCCGGTCAACACGGTCCTGTGACGCCTTGCCGGCGAACTCGGACAGCAGGCGCAGGTGGAGGAAGAGGTTCGGCACGCTCTCGTCGACGGCGAAGCCACGGGCCTTCATCATCTTGGCCAACAACGACACAGCCTCCATCGAGGGACGGCCCTCCTCGTCCTCGATGAAGAGCGTCTCGAGCGAACGGCGGCATTTCACATAGTCGGCGTCGATTTTCCGTTTTGAGAGCTTGCTGACGAGAATCTTGAGCAGGTCGTTGCGGAAGTTGAAGTGCGGCACCGCGTTGACGAGCGTGCAGGCGCACGCGATGGCGACGCTCGAGATGCTTTGCCCTGTCTTGCGTGTGGTAGGGATGTCGGCCTTTGCCCACTTGGCCAGCTCCTTGACGTACCCCTGGTATCCGGACACGAGGGCCTGCTCAAAGGCACGCAGTTTGCGGACCTCTTTGGAAAGCTTCTCGACGGGGGCGTCCTCGGCGACAGGCCGGATGCGGTAGCCCGGGATGACATCCTTGTAGACGGCGAGCTGGGTGGCCAGCGTGAGCTTCTGGATGGCCTGGATGCGCGACTGGCCGATCTTGGCGAGGGCCTTGAAAGCGCCGACGTTCTCCTCCGGGTCCTCGTTCAGCGCCATTGCGATCTTGGCGAGCTCCTCCTTAGCCTGGTGGATCTGGACGGGCTCCGGCAGGTTCGACTCTTCCTCCTCCTTCCGGCGATCCTGACGCAGCCGTTCGGCGGCCGCTTCGGCGGTGGCGTCTTCATCCTCGCGACCCTCGAGCCATTCGCCGTCGCTCTCAACCGAGGCGGCGTCGTCATCTCTGTTGTCGCCCTCGAGGGGCTGGTACTGTTCGAGGCGGCCGTCGGCCGTCTTGATGGGCAGCCGATGGCTGTCCTTCTTTTCCTTCTTCCCCTTTCGCGGGCGGTTCTCATAGTCCTGCTCCAAGTTCCAGCTGGCGGCGTTCTTGAAGAAAGACTTTTGGATCTTCTTGGAGCTCTTGCCGGCGGCGTCTTGCTCGTCTTCGGGAGGAGGTGTGAGCCTGCGGCGTTTGGTGGCTCTGGACGACATCTTGAATCGAAAGATGGCGGATGTGTCGTCGATCGAACCGGTTTGGCACGGGTAATTGAGGCTGTTCCGTTTTGTTGGCCCTCAATGCTCGTCGCTTGCTCGCCGAATGGAAGATTTCTCGATGCACGGGCGGACTGGATGGGACCCTGCGAGACCAGCAGCAGAAAGAGGGTCCGTCGAGAACTTTTTAGTGGAGTTGTGTCATTTCAACCAATAGTAACCCTGGCTTCCCCTCAGACCGCCCGAAATTTTTTGGGTTTCTGCCACTACTCCAAACCTATTCGCATCGCGATGCACCCTCTGCATCCCACTCTCGGTACGGTAGCGCTTGCAAGTTTTCCCAAGAAAGCCGCCCTTGATCATTTTCTCACCACCACCAAAAAGAAAGAAAGGAAAAGACGCTAGAAGCCCACAATGCGTCCCCTTACCGAAAAGGAGACCGAGACCCTCTTCAACAAGCTGGCCAGTTACATGGGCAGCTCGCTGAAGAACCTCATCGCCCCGCTCGACAACGGCCCCGAGCCGGACCGCTACGTCTTTCGCATGATCCGCGACCGCGTCTACTACGTCCGCCTCTCCGTCGCCAACCTTGCGACCAGTATCGCCCGCGATAAGCTCCTCAGCATCGGCATCTGCCTAGGTACGTTCTCGCGCGCATGGCCTTCTCACACTGCATTGGAAGTTGTGTCTCTAACCTGCCGGCGATGTAGGCAAGTTCACAAAGACAGGCAAGTTCCGTCTGCACGTCACCGCCCTCCCGATTCTCAGCGAGCACGCAAGATACAAGATCTGGGTCAAGGTGAGCCACTCTAGTCCGGAACAAGTCTATCCGAGGACGGTAATGCTAACTTCAATCCTCTGCGACAGCCCAACGGCGAGATGCCCTTCCTGTACGGCGGCAACATCGTCAAGGCTCACGTTGGCCGCTGGTCCGAAGACTGCCCGGAGCACCAGGGAGTCATCGTCTTCTCCATGGACGACAAGCCCCTCGGCTTCGGCGTTACCGCCCGCTCGACGGCCGAGGCGCGCCGTCTCGACCCCACGGGTGTCGTGTGCTTCAGGCAGTCCGACTGTGGCGAGTACCTGCGCGACGAAGATACCCTCTTTGCCGGTTAAACGGATTCCGCTTGTTTTTTTGTTCTTCCTTTTTCGCGGAGGAAAGGGGACCGTGGTCGTGAAGAAGGAGGAGGAGGCCGGAATCCCCCCTCCCCTCCACCCCCTTTGGCTTCTTGGACATTTTTGTGTTAAACATGTTTGGAATGGCGTTTTCGGTTTCACCCTAAAAAGAGAGTCAGAGGACACGGCGGGGCATCTTGACGGCGTTTCTTGTTGGTCATCAGCAGTCTTGTTCTTTCGGTCACTTTCTTTTCCAGCCGGGGCACCATGCTGGTACTGCCGGTGGCCTTGCGCTGCCTCCCCCCCCCCCCCCGACTAGTAAAATGCAATCACCTGGAGGATATATGCCGAGCTTTTTGCGAGTACATGACGAACAAAGCGCATGTGACAGTGTATGATTCTGTAGTGGGACCCTCGTTGAGAAAGCCCTTGTATAGTCTTTAATAAGCCGTCAGGTCTCAAAGCCGGCACCAAGTATCCCTTTATGGAATGCGCCTCGCAATTCTGGAAATATCGCTTTTTGATTCATCACACATGCAGACTTGCCCCCTCACCCCGGCCATCGTTGTCCCTCTCTGCCTCTTACGTCTTCTGTTCATACCCGGTGATGCCAGAAATCACCTCCTCGACAATCTGCTCCTTGGCCTTCTCGATGCTCGGCGTCACTGGCCGGCTCTCGCGGCTGAAGATGCGGATGTGCTGCCTCTCCGCCACGTACTCGCTGTCGGCGTACCCCAGCAGGCCCCCGATGTCCGAGCTCTGGTGGCCCTTGATGCGCATGATCTCGGGCGCGGCGTAGTTGACCAGCGCGCGGCCGACCTCGACCGGCGTCCCGCCCCACCGCTTGCCGCTCTGGCCCGCGCTCGGGCCGTGCAGGCGGTCCACGACGACGAGGCGGACGGCCTCTTGCTGCGCAAAGTTGCCGTCGACGTCGATCACGCCGGCCGGCAGCAGGCCGGCCTTGCGGAGCAGGGCGCTGTGGGCGCCGGCGTCGATGTACAGCGTGCCGTGGGGCTTGAGGCCGTGGATGAGCCAGAAATGACGGTCGCGGATCGGCTCCGCGGAGGGGAGGAAGCGGGTGTGCAACGGGGGCTTCTCGACGGCCTGGTCGAGGCGCAGGGAGGCGGTGGACTGGGACAGGGGGTCCTCGGCGTGGTCGTGGTCGTGGTCGTGGTCAGTGTCGTGGTCTCCGCCATCATGGATGGCAGTGGCGTCCAGGTGCGGGGAGGATTTTTGCTGTGCCTGGATGTAGCGCACGATCTTGACGATGTTGCCCGGGTTGGAGGAGCGGGTGATCACAGTGGTCACGCCTGCGGATGTCGCCAGTCTTGCAGCCACGATCTTGGTCATCATGCCGCCGGTGCCGAGGGAGGAGCCGGCGGTTGATACTGTTTGGGTGTGTCAGCTTCGGTGCGTTTACCTGAGCTCTCTCTCTCTCTCTCTCTCTCTCTCTATCAGGTGTTGATCTTATATTGGCTTACCGTCCGCTTGGATGCTGGAAATATCTTCAACTACTTCAATGGCCTGTGCGTCGGGGTGTGTTCTGGGGTTCTTGTCGTAGAGACAATCCACGTCGGTCATGAGGAAAAGCATGTCAGCGTGGACCATGCCGGCGGCGATGGCAGAGAGCGTGTCGTTGTCGCCGAACTTGATTTCCGACACCGCCAGGGTGTCATTCTCGTTGACGATTGGAATGACACCCATGTCGAGAAGCTCGTTGAATGTGTTTTGGGCATTGAGATATCGGGTCCGCTAAAGCCGGGTCAGGCACTTCTATCGTTCGTTCTCATTAGCATGACTTACATCCGCTATGTCGTTCCGCGTAAGGAGGATCTGGGCGACAGGCTGTCTAAAGTGGCTGAACAAGTCGTCCCACAAACTGATGAGTCTGCACTGGCCAATGGCTGCTAACGCCTGCGAGTCTGTCAGTCGTGTCTCTTTTGAGGTCGAGGTTGCAGAATCGGACCAACCTGCAACGTCGACAGGTGTTTCGGCCGCCTGCCCATTTCCATCCGGAGAAGACCAACGCCAATGGCGCCGGATGAGACGATGACCACCCTATGGCCATCTTTCCTCAACTTCACCGCCGTCTCGACAATAAGACTAAGAATAGACAGCAGGGGCTGATGGGTCTTCTCGTCAACAATTGAGCTGGTGCCTGTGAAACAAGTCAGTACGAATCATGGCGAACCCATTTCCGAACCACTCACCCAGCTTGAGCACCACTGTTTGGGGTTTCTGGCCCTCACGGTGCTGCTTCATATCTGCGGTCGATGATACCCGAAGTTAGTCACAGGCTTCTTTTCTTTAAAGCTTGCACCTTTCGCTAACGCCAAAAATGGCCACGATCAACGGTATAAACAGCACCAAAAATAAAAGACTAAAAAGACGCCCAACGGCGGCATCAGGCATATTACGTAGGCGCGGAAAATATTGGATCCTCTTACACGTTGAACCACTCTCTTCCGCCATTGCCAGGACTCAGACCAGCCAGTTGTCGTCGAAATGTGGGACGCAGGGACGAAGAGGGTGGTAATGTTCAAGGCCCCTGGTCAGGACTAAGTGGTTGTGCGCCCCTTTGTTGTCGGGCTTTGGTCTGGTGCGGCGCTGGATGACTGGATCGGTAAGAGAAAGAAAAAAAAATCCCCTTCCGGATGGCCCGACATCGGGATCGTCCGGTGTGACAGAGGCAGGCGGAGAGAGCCCGGGAGTGAAGCTAGGAGGAGCCTGTGATTGGGTGGGTGCCCTTCCCTAAAATCCGGGGCAGAGTGGTCCATATGAGGAATCTCGTACAAATATACCACCCAAGGCCGGTTGTCCTCTAGACGTGATGCATGCGGCAAGTATTTGAAGATTCGGTTGCCCACTATGTCACCAAGTCGAGCTACAGCAATAGCACGCCTTTATAGACCGCATCTGAGCCAACTTCCAGGGGTGCGTACAATGCGTACCTAGGTAGGTAGGTAGGGTGGGCATCTTACTCAGCCTAGAAGTATTAGGTCGTAAGTTGGGAAACCATTGACCTCAAGTTGCAATGCAACGGGTCTATTCCAGCGCTAGCCATTACATCAGACAATTAATGAAATAAAACCATAACATGATGAGAAATATACTATGAGGTCCTTTTCTTGCCAAATTGTGAGTAATGAGATGGCCGGATACTTGTCAAATGGCCCACTGACCGGCACTTCATGTTGAACATCGGCTCGCGCAACACTGCTGGCCTTATCGATAGTGGCCAAAATTTCCCCAGTCTCCAATCCATCTCCCATTCACAATCTCCACCCTGGCCATCACCAACGCTGTCGAGCGCCGATACCCAACGACTCGATATTTCACATCACTCCGATAGCCGGCCAAAATGACGATTCTTGACGATAAACCGATGCCTGCGGCGTCTCCCGAGGCCCCCTCGACGACGACGGCCGCCTCCTCAGCGGCATCAGCAGCACCGAACACGCCTCAGCAACCGCCGCGCGAGCTTCGCAACGATCCAGCCCGCACCGGCTTCGACCCGCAGACCAAGTGGTGGATGAACTACTTCAAAGTCCTCACTGGAGGCATGACCCCCGAGGGCCAGTTCCACTACCGCGAGGCCCGCTACCGCGCCAACGAGGAGCGCGACTGCAAGCGCTGCGAGGAGTACCGCGACTGGCTCCTCGCCTTTTCCCCGACCGTGCGCTTCCTCAACGACAAGATCGCCGCCCTCAACGGCAACCTGGACTCGTCCAACATCCTCTGCAGGCGGTGCCCTGCCCGGCTGACCGAAGACGGCGAGGTTCACCGCCAGTCCGGCGGCTTCAGCCCCGCGCACGGGATCCTCATCTGCGCCAACGAGGTGAGGGACCGGAAGCACCTCGAAGACACGCTGTCGCACGAGATGGTGCACGCGTGGGACCACCTTCGGTGGAAGGTCGATTGGATGGGTGACTTGGACCTGAAGCATGCGGCGTGTACAGAGGTAGGTTCTCTCCTGGGAGGTGGGGGGTGGATGGGGAACGTGGGAATGATGATGACGACGACGGAAATACTAAAGTGCGAGAAACAGATCCGAGCATCGATGCTCAGCGGCGAGTGCAGGTGGACGAGGGAGGCCTTCACAAGAGGCAACTGGAGCCTGTCGCAGCAGTTCCAGGACTGCGTGCGGAAGCGCGCCATCCAATCCGTCCTCAACCGGCCGAGGTGCAAGGATGACGTGCAGGCCACCAAGGTGGTGAACCAGGTCTGGGAGTCGTGCTTCAACGACACGCGGCCCTTTGACGAGGTTTACAGATGACGGAACGGCGCCGAGAAGACGGACAGGATGGTGGTGGTAGATGGGCTCGGGAGACGAGCGTGCGCGCGCGTGTGTATAATACCCTTGGAACAGGATGTACTATATTTTCTTCTCAGAAGAAGCGAAACACCCAACTACAGTAATGCTTTTACGATGAATGGCTATGCTTCTCTCTGGTTTTGTCTCTCTACTACACTTCAAAAAAAAAAAAAAAACGACGGACATATAGAGACAACCCAACTCCCGCCATGCAATTGGAAAGAAAAAGAAACAAGACTGCCCCCCAAAACCCCAAGCCGTAGATCAGAGCCCGTCTGGATCCCGCAAAGAAGAAACGCCGTTAATCATACAAGGGCCGTTATGCCTTGATGGTATGTGATGCATGAATCATAAGGGTCATAAATTAGGTGCTCTTCTCGCGGTTGGCGGCTCTCTCGCCTTTGACGCAGTGCTTGACGATCCAGGGGTGGGTTTGGACCTGCTCGAGGGGTATTCTCTTCTCGGGGTCAAGAACAAGCAGCTGGGCAACGACATCAGCACATGGCGTCTGGGAAAGCGGCGCGCGTGATATTGACTCACCTTCTTAATCAAATCCTTGGCCTCGGGACTGACAAACGACGGGACTGTCATGTCAGCCCGGGCGATCCTCCTTTGCGTCATCACGGGCGTGTCCTCGAAGGGTGCCTCGCCCACGAGGAACTCGTACGTGAGGACGCCCAAACTCCAGAGGTCGACCTTTTCGTTGTAGTAGTTGTCCGAGCTACCGGGCTTGATCATTTCGGGCGGCAGGTAGTCGAGGGTACCGCACATTGTGTTGCGGCGGTTGTTGGGGGCGTGGACGCTCCAGCCGAAATCGGAAATCTTGATCTCGCCGTGGATGCCCATGAGGATGTTCTCGGGCTTGATATCCCTGTGGATGACGTGCTTGCGGTGCAGGTAGCGCAGGGCCGAGGCCATCTGGGCAATGTACTGCGCCGACTTCCACTCGGGGAAGCGGCTCTCCTTACGGAGGTGCTTGTACAGCTCGCCCTTGCCGGCAAACTCGAGGATGAGGAAGACGCGCTTGCTGTCATGGAAGTGTCCGTACAGCTGAAGGATGTTGGGGTGGCGCAGGTTGCTCTGGATCTCGATCTCGCGACGGACCTGCTTCTCGACGCGGCCTTGCTGGAGCTCGTTCTTGTGCAGGACCTTGAGGGCGCAGATGAAGCCGCTCGTGCGCTCCCTCGCGAGGTACACACGGCCGAACTTTCCCTTCCCCAAGGGCCGGCCAATCTCGAACATGCCGAGGTGGAAGACCTTGGGCGCCGAGGGCTCGACGATGAGGGAGATTGTCGACTTGCGCTCGACCTCGACGACTTCATCGGACGTCCTCGACGAGGTCGATGGCAGGGGCTTTCTCGCGGGTGAAGCAGGGTTTTTCGCAAGTCGTTGTGCGGACTGCGACGGCAGCGTTACCGAGGCGACGGCGTTTGTGCTCTGGGACTGGAGTGCGACCTTGACGAGATTTGGTCTGCTCGAAGCCTGGGAGAGCTGTGATGTCTTGACCAAGGACTATTATACGCCTTATGTCAGCGACGGTGTCGTCGGATGATGGAAGTACACCGACGAGAGGCACGAACCTGGGTCTTTGAGTAGAGCTTGCCGCTGTCGACAGGCTCATTCTCGTCATTCACCGACATGCGCTCAAAGCGCGACTCCAGCGTCCGGGTAGCCATTGTCGCCAAGTGTATTGGAGAAGGTATGCAACTAGTTCGAGTGTTCCCTGCCGGTTAGAAATGAGTGCACTGAGAGGGTTGTATGGGTTTAAGGGAAAACGTGAAGTTGGTTGTCGGATTTATTAAGAAAGGTCTCGAGCGACTAACGATGTACCAGCCTTCGTGGGAGCTAAACAACGGGGGCCAGGATGGTTGCCAGGGAGACGGGCACACTGCAACAGCAGGGCAGCGACCCGCCCCTCTGTTTTCAGGTACAGCAACAGTGCCATTCTCCTGCCCCCCGCCCCACACCAGCCGATGGCTCCCCAACCGCCTTGTCTTAGCTGCTGTCAGCTTGGTCTGACGTTTACGGATAGGTACCATCTCCCATTTCCTTGTTCGTCCAGGATCAAATTAACCGACAGTTCCTCGATCCTCTCCAGCCCCGTTTCAGGTCATGTGCCTGGTCAATGGGTGACCAAGATGGATTAGGCCCCGTGATTTGTCCTGGCCGATGAGCGGTCTGGGCTGCAGCATCCCAAGGCGGACGCACTCGTTTTGATGACCGTATGCAACGTCCATCACATAACGGGTGCACCGTATACTTCTGGTGCAGAGCTTGAGTATTGTTCATCGGCTGTCCGTAGTGATCGACAGCTTTTTTATCCTGTATCGCTCTAAAATAACAAAAACTTATCGAGTTATTACAAGGTATCTGCTCCATCATTACTGTCCGTTTGAGAGGAGGATCTCGGACGATTAAATGTTTGACTCGGAATTGGGGGGGAAGGCACCTGAATGACAGCGTATGGTGGCATGGCTTGAATTGAATATAACCGACGACCACGCTTCCCTTTCTCCGATGCATCGAGACAAAGAAGTCTGCCTTTCCTACATTGTGCCCTTGTATGTTATCCTTCGTCCATCAAATGACTATACGAACGAAACATCGTGCTCATAATGACGACAAATCCTCACAAGCCAGCATGTCGCCGACCTCCCCATTGGTTCCACGAGCCAGTATCCTCTCGCTACAACAGTACTGACCTATCTGAATACTCGCGTCTAATAAGATTAAGTTTTCAAAGCGTTGGTCCAAAACCTCGTTGTATTCTTTTCAGTGGAAAGTGTGGAACAAGCTGCTAAGACGTATCTCCGATGACCTCCCACACATGTATATCAACTTACCACCCAGCTGGCTCTCTGGCAGGAAGCAACATCTCGAAAACAAACAAGGATCACCGCAAATACCGTCAAAAAGCTGTTGGTTCTGGGGGCAAAGATACTTTCAGATCAAGAACACCGATACTAGGGCGAACGATATCGTCTAGTCCGATTTCAAACGCAAGATGGAGTTGGAGCAACAGACCACATCAATTGTGCCCTTGTGGCAGACACCGCCTTTGGAACTTTCGAGAGAAAACGCCAGGCTTTCGGGGGGGCACATAGGCATGTGGGTCAGATGTGATAGATGCAATAGACACATCGAAGCATCAGTCCCCAAGAAATGGCTTCTCAGGATGAGCGAGTTCAAGGACCGATACCCGATACTTGCAGGGAGCTTCACACAATCCAACGAAGTGGAGCTGAGCATGACAACGATACGGGCATCTCCTAAGCTGTGCCCCGGCTACAGCGATGGCAGTTGCCTCGCCTCGGGAACTTTCGAGTACATCCGGACGTGGAGACAGTTCAAGTCGCTTCCCGGTGTATACAAGACAGACAGGAAGTGGTTGAAGCTTCGATATCCACCGGCAGAGGGATATTCCGCGCACCCTGGCTGGCAGGACATGCTGAAAAACGCGGCAAGGTCGGTGGCCGACTTGACGCCCCCGTATATCCGCTACCTCAGCTGGCGGTTCGCATGGCATCTCTTCTGGCACCACAGGGGCATGAGGCACCAGAACGCACCACTCGAGAGGATGTGGGGCAATGTCGCAGCAGACGTGCTGCTGTGGCACTTTGGACTCCTGCGGGACCATGATCTCGAGGTGCTTTACAGCATGAGCGTTGGCAGCCTCTTGGGCCTGCTGGCGTGTCGCTGGGACTACGCCATCGCCGTGCTCGAGATGTTCTACGCCATACGGCAGGATCTCGATAAGCACAGCTTCAATCCGCTCAAATCCGCCGTCGAGCGGGCCGATACAGCCATGCGCTGGTACATCAAGGCCATAAATAAAGGTGAAGAGGAGCAGAGATATCAACGGATGCTGCTAAGCAGTGCCTTCCGAGTTCTCAACAACATGTTGAGAGTGTATGCGACGGAGAGACAGTGTCGACTCTTTGCCAGGCTGTATTGCAAGCCCCCTCCGATTCCAAGAGATTCCTTTGGTATATCCTCCCGGAATCAATTTGGCAAAGAAGTCGAACAAGAACCGGGTGAACTAGAGCGAGAGAGAGCAGATAAGTCGATCAAATGGCTCATGCATCATATTGCGGAACACGAGGCAATCCATGGGAAAATCGAACCCAAGGGTGCAACGGCACCGCACGACCGGCATATGAGTTGTTTACATGCGGTCGAAAGCTGGTACGGTCACGCATTCATCGAGGAACTCGCCGAGTCCGTACAGGAGCGGGGGAGAAGTGAGAAATCGGGACATCTCGGCGACTCGGTGAGCTTGGTGGAGTGACGTTGGTTCCCTTCCCTCACCGACAGAAGCAGGGATCTTGGTCCCGGGACACACCTTTGTTCCCCGCCAACCCCCACCATCACTCCCTGGTGCTCTCCCGACCAGAGAGAGCTTCGACACTACTGCACACCTCCGATCCGAGCTGCGTTACACCAAAACCAAACAAAACCTTCCTCTCAACACCAACAGCTCCGAGCCACTACGGATATACAACTACCCCCGCCGCAACTCCCTCGCAGCGCGCCCTCCCAATTTGCATCGAACCTTCCCAAATCGACACCCCCCAACGCCCCCAAGATGAACCACATAACTTCCCCCAACGAGCCATTCCCTACCCCCTCCGCCCTCGCCGCGGCCACGACAACCCACACCCAGCGCAATTTCCGCATTGCCTCCCGCAAGCTTCCCATCTCCAAGGCCGGGCCCATCGACGAGATGACGGCCTCACTTGGCATCCCGGTCCCCGAGATGATATTCGGCGACAACCTCGTCTCCGTCTCCCACGTGCCCACAGGCTGGTCCGTCTCCTTCAACGCCTACGACGCACTCGACGCCGTCGACAAGACGGACAAGAAGATGCTCAAGGTCGCCTACGCTCGGGACTGGTCGTCGAGTAGGGAAAAGACGAGCGCGGGGATCAAGGAGGTCGTCAAGCCGTACGACTGGTCCTACTCGACCGAGTACCGCGGCACCCTGCAGGAGCCCGACGCCCCGGGGCAGAAGCTGGAGGAGACGACGACGCGGCAGATTCCGCTCGAGCTGCTCAAGCGCCGGGACCCGATCCTCTTCTTCGACGACGTGGTACTCTTCGAGAGCGAGCTCGACGACAACGGCATCTCCATCGTCAGCGTCAAGGTCCGCGTCCACGAGAAGCGCATGTTGCTGCTGTGCCGCCTGTTCATGCGCCTCGACAACGTCATCGTGCGCATCCGGGACACGAGGGTGTACGTCGACTTTGAGACGGACGAGGTCATCCGGGAGTACACAGCCAAGGAGGACACCTTCGACAGCGTCAAGCGGGTAAGTTTCGAAAGCCTCGGATGTACAGGTGCAAATTTGCTGACGACGAGGGTGTGACAGTCGCTGTTCATGGAGGGCAGGCTGCCGGATGATATCACCATCGCGTTGCGGGACCCGAACCTGCTCTACAACCTGCTGCCGACGGTCGAGCAGACGGTGCAGAGCGTTTCCCTGAAGCAATGAAACGCACCCTTCCCCACCTCCTTTGTCAATTGCTTGCTTCATGAGTTTGTTTCGCCTTTCAACGAGTGACCGGCGTTCAGGGCGAGGGATGTAGATTCAGGCGTTTCGGGCATCGGGAAAAGCTTACGGGCATGGTAAGGGACCGCGATACCTCTGCAGGAAGAATACAATATTTGTCCATACACCCATTAGATACGCATCGCAAGCATCATGTGAATGGAATCGTTCGTTACCGAATTCGCTGGATAAAGTACTTCTGGTTCCTGTAACTGATTGCCACCGCACTCCCTATTGCAAGAGAACGCTGCCGACGAGACATGCATCGGAACGCCCAACAGCGTCGGCGCGGGTATTTCCGACTTCACATCAGGCAACACGAGCAACACGAAAATAAAAACCCAGTTCCGCCCCTGCCCACGCCCTTTTGAAATTTTCGTCGCCGTCCCCTTTGTTATCCCACCGGAAAAAAAAAAGAAAAAAAGAGGATCTTGAAAGGGGAAAAAAGAACTTTAGACTGCCAAGCCCCCTGGTCCTCTTCACCGCGCATCCCGGTTCGGCGACGAGCCCTCCGTCACCTCCTCGAACTCGAGCTCCCAGCGGTCGACTTCTTTGAACTTGCGCGCCGCCTTCTTCAGCTCGTCGGCGCTGCGGGCCGGATCGCTGCTGTCCTGGCTCTCCGGGACGTCATCCGGGACGGGGGCGAAGTTGTCGCCCTCGGCTCCGGCGTCTGCCTCTGCCTCTGCCTCTGCCGTTTCTTCCTCTGCCTCGTTCTCCTTGTCCGACAGACGGCGGCTGTACGTGCGCGTCGACGAGCGCGTCGCCGCCCTCGGCCTTTCGGCCGACGCGGCTGCCTTGACGCTGCGGGAGGCCGGCCGATTCGCCGTGCCGGGGTCGCGGGGCGCTGCCTTTGCACGCCGGGAACGAGTGCGCGAGTCAACATAGGAGAGCTCGTCGTCGTGCTCCGCGTGATCCGAGGCGTCGACCTCTTCCTCCTCTGTGTCGTTTACGCCGTAAGGGTCTCGGGCCTTTTTGTGGCGTCTGCGGGGCAACAGCCCGGTGAGATCCGCCGTCGTGACCTTGGGAGACATGCCCTGCTTCTTCTGTCGGGACTTGTTCCTCGTCGCTGGGAAGTTGGGGGAGTGCGTGAGGGAAGGCGGCGAAGAGGCGTCGGAGACGTTGCCGTCTCGCGTCGGCGTAACCGGCGAGGCACGACGACGCCGCTGCTTGGCGAGGGTGTGAATGTCAGGCCAAATCCCCTCGCTGCCCTCAGAGTCGCTGCTCTCAGGAGGTGCCATAATCTCATCCCGGTTCGGTGTCGTCGGCTGAGGGAACATGGACGGCCGCGTGGGCGTGAGAACTGGCGAGGGCAGGTCTGAGAGCTCCGAGTCGCTATCGCCATCCCCTAGATCAGGCACGGGCTCGGGCTCAGGTTCGGGCTCCGTCCGTGACGCCTTTCCTGGTCGGTCGCTCTCTGCGTGACTCTCTGTACTTTTGCGTTTGCGCCATGTGGTACTTGAATGGGGCGCCATGTCATTCTGCGCGGGCTGTGAGTCTGGAGCGAGGACCTGCTGTGAGTCCGACTCAGGCTCCGCCGCCAGCGATTGTGTTTTACGCCGCTTCTGGAGAGGCGTCGACTCGGCGTCGGGGTCAAAACCGTCGTCTGCCTCCTCATCGTCAGAGTCGGGACCGGACGATAGCTCGATCGGCCGCTGCGCACGCTCCTTTTGGGCCGTACCCAATATACTCGGTTCTCTCTGTCGGCGCTTGAACAGCCCGATGTTGAAAGTCGAGCTGATGCCAGGGGTGCTGCCAACGCCGCGACTGCTTGGCCTAATGGGCGCGTCGTCCCTACTGATGCTGATGCTCGGCGCGCGGCCCCGGCGCCTAAAGTGACTGACACTGAATGCCGAGGTGACGCTGAACGTTGAGATGTCCGAACGTGGCGCAGCAGCATCGTCGTCGTCGTCGCCGATCGTGGTGTCGAGACCCTCAAACATTTCGTCGTCCAAATCCAGCCCTGTCGTGTCCCTCCGGTGCTGTACCGGCGTCGCGCGCGTCTTCCTGCTCAACTCCAGCTCCAGCGATGAGTCGGACTTTTGCCTCTGATCACTCTCCGTCTTCGCCTTAGAAGACGTCATGTCGAGCTCGTCCTCTAACCTGCTCATGGCCTCGTCACGCGCGTGGACCGACTCCTCCAACGCCTGCTTCTGGCGCAAACTGGCGCTCCGGCTCAGACGCGCAGACGCACGCCCCGCAAGGCGGGACGACCTGCCTCCATCCTCCTTTTCGAGCTCTTTGCGAATAACCGAGTGTTCACGATCGCTGTGGCTGTAGATATCGCTGCCCGAAGCGGGAGCGGGGCTCAACTTTTCCTCTGGTGCCGCGACGGCGACTGGGGCGGGTGGCGCGCGACGCGCTCGTTTGGGCCTCGGCATAGCTTCGATTTGTCGTTGGTGAACCTGGCTTGACTTCCGAGTGGTCTATGTGGCTTGGGTATTGAAGGAAAGTTCGGCGCGGTTCACGTGAAGTTGAGGGGTCACACCAAGATAAGGATGGGATGGCGGAATCTTGTGGTATTATGATGTGGTGTGGGAGGGAAATGCTTGTGAGCGGGACGCGTCGCGAACTCGAACCTTGCTCGAGCCGGGTCGCGACCCACCCCCAAGTTGAAAGCCGATGGGGAGCTAGCGCCACAGCAACACCAGCCACGCCCTTATATAAACGCTGGCTGGCTGACGGTCAAAGCAGCATTCAAAAGTATCATGTCGCCGCTGCAGTACACAGTCTATAGAAAATCTTGGGGCATTGCAGGTTCAAATTTATTGTTTGGAACAAAAGAAAACATGTTGAGTTGGGAGTTGGGACCTGAACCCGCGAGTGCGACCTTCCACCTCGGGTACATGTGCGCCATCCCATCCTTGAACCTTGATTCTGTCTTTCTTGTACAGCCATGTGTTGTGTTGTTCGAACTGGTGTCTAAAACCGCCTATTTCATTACATTGTTCTGATGCCTGAGGCAATTTTGGAGATTTTGGACGACAACTCCTCAACAACCTCTCGCCTTATTTATCCATCTAGCAACACGCACCATGGTTCTGAATCATTCTCAAGTCATTGACAAGCCAGAAACTGGTGGGTTACCAGCTGCTCAACGATACTGTTTCAGGGTCAGACTAGAGGAGATTCCTGGGGTACATTTGCGGCGCTCAATTAACCCTTGCCAGGGACTTTATTTCACAAAACTTCCAACGAGATTTCACTTGGGATAAAGACTATGTGTATACACCACACAGCATTGATGGAGAAGGAAAGCAATGGATACTTCTTGATGTGGATACAAACATTTTACCTAATCCTAGGTATAAGGATGTGAGGTTGCATGTGTATCGAGTTAGTGTTGTTGGAGACAAATTGTAAGTGTCCTGTTACGGTTGATCTTTGTACTAACTAACTTGTCATTTTGGGCATAGCAATTATACGACAGTTCAATACTCAGACATAAGAAGGCTAACGTCTATATTCCCCTGGGGTGGTCGGAAATAGATAACCAACTCTTAGGCCGTTGCCATTATAACTCACAATCAAGGCCATAGTATTCATCAGTTCTAAGCATAATCCATTTCCAGCGTAGCCTGTACCCATGCCGGTACAATGTGTGAGACCGAAAATGTTCACACTATGAAGGGCATGTCCGTGCGCTAAGAGAAAAGAGGTTACTTCAACCAGACTCATTTCGTACATAGCTTTATACATTGTATTGTTTTACATGTGTTATACAGTGTTCTCTTTCATCCATGCCGAGAAGCACACTAGATGAGAGCTTGACCCATGAACATGCTCTCCTTGACCTCGGAAACGACGTCCCTCTTGTCGTCCTTCCCAACAAGCACGATACCTCTTCCACGGCGTCCCATGCGCCCAGCCCTGCCTAGGCGATGGATGAAGTCGATGGTGGTGTGCGGGACATCGTAGAGAATGACATGCCGCACAGCCAGCGTGTCAATACCTCTAGACGCCAGATCGGTGGCGACAATCACCTTAGTGTTGGGCAGCGACCGCTTGCCGGTGACGGGGGATTCCGAAGACACGGAACGCAGAGGCTCCGCCGAAGTAAAAGAGTTGAGCATCTCAGACTGGCGGTTCTCGGCCGTGTCTCTGTTCAGCGCGACGGCATCGATGCCCTTGGACTGGAGATATTCGGCCACCTCGGTCGTCTTCTCGCGCTCGTTGACGAAGACCATGATGCGACGGACGTCAATCTCGCCCTGGATCGGGCCCTCGTGCTTGGACGCCTCGCGGCCGATCGTGTAGATGGCGTCCGCGCAGGCCAGGTTCTTGTTGTTTCGGTAAGGGTCCTTGACGACGTCAATGACGCCGAGCTGGACTCTTCTCGGGATGGCGTGGAGGTTCGGCGTTGTGATGCGGGTCATATTAGGGAAGTTGTTTGCGAGGTAGTTGTCCAGTCTCTTGGGAATGGTCGCCGAACAGAGGATGAACTGCTGCAGCGACGGCATCGCCCTGTCAATGATGGATGTGGTGACGGGTGCGAAGCTTCGGTCGAATAGAGAATCCGCCTCGTCGACAATCAGGTGGCTGACATGAGAGAGAACATTAGGGTCGGATTCTGCGATCGAGGCCAGTAGATGAGGCGTAGTGATAACCATGTCGACGCCGCGCGGCGAGTACAGGTTGCGCTGGATTGTGGTAGCGCTGAGATTGGCCGAGAGCTTTTCTGACTTGAACTTGACAGCGTGGGAGAGCGTCTTGGCCACTTTACCCACCTGATCAACGAGCTCTGCTGAAGGAACCAGGACAATGACGCGGGGTCTTGCCATGGTGGGGTGAGGCTCGTCAAAGGTAGACATCTTCTTCGACTTGGAGGCCCTCTCTCTAGCCTTCTCCTCCTCAAACCGCTTCTTGTAAGCCTGGATTTCAGGATTCGCCTCCTCGGCAATCTTCATAGCGTTGACAGCGGGCAGTAGGTACGCCAGCGTCTTGCCGGAACCCGTTTCAGCTGCAAGCAGGAAGTCTTGCCTCTTCTCGCCCCTGACTTTAAACGCGCTGGTCTGGCCGAGCATCGCCGGAATCGCAAGCCTCTGTACGGGAGTCGGTTTGATGTCCACCATTCCCCGCAGGAGATCGTCGCTGATGGCGGTCTTCACGGCAGGAAGGAGATTGAACTGGTCAAAAGACTCGTATTCCTGCATTTTGTCTTTCAATGCGTTCCTCTTGCCGTACGACACGCCGGCAAGGGACCGCTGCATCTTCAACGCTTTCCTATTATCGGACGAAGTCTGGGAATCGCCTCCTCTGCTGGGCCTACCCGACGGCGCCTTCGCGTTGGTCGGTCGCGAGGCGGCGCGGCGCGGCCCTTCGGGAACTCTGGCAAACTTCTGGTTCATGCCACCAAAGGGTCCCTCGACTAGTCGTTTCGGCGGGCGGGCATCTCGATTTCGGGGTTTTGCGACGTTGTCGGAGAGAACCATGCGCGATGGTTTTTCTTTCGCCGCCGAACGGTAGCCGGCGTTTTGCGTGAACCATGGCGAAGTCGTCAGTCGGGGGAAGGGTTGGAGCCGTAATGTCAGTTGGCATTTGGGGCACAGCGATGCCAGTGTCCTCGAAGACATGATGGGCAAACGCGTGAGAGTTGTGGCTAACGCTGAAGCTGGGACTGGAGCTGGAGCTGGAGCTTGAATTGTGGGAGGAGCGAGATTCCCCCCTGGTTCTCTCGAAATTTTAGAGGTCGGTATGGAGATTTCTGCGCCGACCCCCATGCAGTCGGCGCGGCCTAAGCTCCGCGCCGACCTTTGCAGCGCCACCTCTGGGGTCGAGCATCCCGGCTTCAGTCAGATACGCAATCCATGTTCCCGTCGCATTCCAGACTGTGGTAGCCGGCTTAGCTTTAAGTGGACTTAGCAATGATCAGGCTGACTTGCTCATACTTTTGTAGTCTACGCACTTGTATGGTCTCAAGGACTGTTGAACGACACGGATTTGGACCAACTCCAGCTATGTCTATAGACTATGGTGCATGTTTTCCGTCTACTGACAAGGCAACTTCAATTGGCATTGAATCTCCATCGCGACGAGTCGAAGTCACACGCTTCTAATCACCTGGTCGTCAAGTGAAAGCTACCAGCGTGGACAACGCATCCTTCTTGTAGGGCTGGGCAACTAGTTGCGCTTGTGTCTTGGCCAAGGATCATTGCCGTACCTACGGTATTGCTGTGGCTGTGGCACTCTGCAAGGAACTACCCGAGCTTTTTTTTTCCTAAGTCTTGACGTCCCGTCCCCCCTCCCGCAATTCAGCTCAAGTCGTCCACCATTCGATTCCAGGCCTGTGGAACCTCCCTCCCCTTCGTCAATCTCTCAGCCCCATTCACCACCGTCGTCGAGGGGGCGATTCCTGTTTCTGATTAACTAAGGTCGGTCCTGGAAGGTCAGCTGTCTATCTATCCGAACATCCTTTGTTCCTGTCGTCGCCGGCCAGGCTTCTGCCTCTTCTCTCCTTCCTCCCCGCTGCTTTGTTTTCCTCACTGGACTACACGTCCTGGCGGGTACACTTCGTCAGCAGAACTTGACGTCAGAAGCATGTGCATCCCCAGGTGAGAACGGGGACCCGAAGCAATGAGCGCCGATCTCTTGGACCTCGACAGCTTCTACCAGAGCCCTCCACCGCAACAACAGCAAACGGGGGGCCACCAGAGCCAATTGCAGCAAAAGCAGCAGCAACGGCCGCAGCAGGCCACGGCATCGTCGACGGACCTCTTTGACTTTGCCTCCTTCACCACCAACGGGCCTGCAGCCGCCGTGTCGCCGGCTCAGCAAACCCAACCATGGCCCAACTTTGAGACGCAGCAACCAAACGGTGCTGGTAGTGGTAGCAACGGAGGATGGGGTGACCTCGGCTCACTCTCATCCGGCTTGACGTCCGCAGCAATAACGCAGCGGCCCAAGCAGACGCAACAAGCTGTCGTCGTCGACGATGACGACGATGGATGGGGCGATTTCGAGGTCGCGGAGCCTACGCCGACTCAGCAATCATTCGTGTTGCCCCCGCAGACAAACAAAGCGAGGTCGTCACCGCCACCGCGGAACCGCATCGCGCGCGCCTCAACGTTCGATCTCATATCGAACAACCTCATCAACGTTGTGGATATGCCTCGTGCTTCCGGTCTGTCGCCGATCCCTAGTCCAGGGCTCCCCTCACCGGATCACAGACCCGCCCCTAGCCCTGGGCTCTCCTGGCAACAGCTCGATCGACAATCTAGTCCTGGGCTTGCATGGCAGGCGCAGAGTACCCAGCCGCCGGGCAGTCCGGGCTTTCCGTTCCAGGCATCCTCTGCAAAGCCGCAGCCGGGTCCTGGATTCTCTGGCCAGATGCACGGGTCACAGAGGAACCCAATCCCAGAGCCGGCTAAGCAGTCTGATCCGAACGTTTTATTTGATGCGGAAGATTTTGAGCTTCAGGGAGGAAACGACGACGAGGAAGAAGACGATGATGAGTTTGGCGACTTTGAAACTGTACAGACCCCCTTTCCCGGTGCGAACACGAGCCCGACGTTGGATTCAAGATCAGCGCAACAGCAACCACCACAGGCATCGCACCCTCCGCCATCTATGGACTTGCTCTCCCTCGACGACGATCCCATCCCGGTTTACCAGCCTCCGTCGAAGAAGCCGCAACTAGCTTCATTGAATCTCATCGCGCCTACCTTACCGTATCCACAAGCCCCCAAATCACCATCCTTCCAAGAGCGCAACCCCTTTCCGGGACTGGGACTCGCCACACCAACCTCTGCGGGATTTCAACAGCCAGAGAAGACGGAGGGGGATCCCGACTCTCCCACGCCTCTTACAGCCTGGCCATCTTTCGGGCAGACATCACCAAAGAAACCATCCACCGGTGCCGCGAAGAAGTCATCTACTACTACCAGCCTCCAGAAGCCGCAGAAGGAGGAGGAGGAAGACTGGCCAGATTTTGAAGACTTCCCTGACGACGAGCCCTCGGCCGTCGACTCCGCCAACCCCCCCGAAAGCTGGGACTGGGACGCAGTCGACGGCGTCAAGCCGGCAGTCTCCTCCGCAGTAACCACCAAGAAACCCGCCCCGAAATCCAAAGTCAAGCCAAACTCTGAAGCCTCCGAAGCCCGCGACGACGCGCCGCCGCCCATCAACATTCCCCCTCCCTCCGTCCTCCTCTCCATCTTCCCTCAACTCCTTGATCTCGCAAACTCGTCCCTATTTAAGCCCACAGGGCAGATGGCGGCGCCCATCAGGAAGCGCATCCTCTCGGACCCGGGCACCGTGTCCTTCCTCCGCGCGTATCTCCTCCTCGCCACGGTCGCCGCCCGTGTCATCGCCGGCCGCAAGCTGCGCTGGCACCGTGACAAGTTCCTTGCCCAGGGCATGGCCATATCCGCCGCCGGGGCCAAGGGTATGAAGCTCGCGGGCATCGACAAGGCGCAGGCGGCGCGCGAGGACCGCGAGACGGCCGACGTCGTGGGCGTATGGAGGGAGCACGTCGGCCGGCTGCGGTCCGCGGTCGCGGCGGCGAACTCAACGGTCAAGATACCGCGTGACCAGCTCCGCGTGCCCGAGATCAACGAGACGATGCCCGTGTCGACGGCCAAGGTCGTGCCGACGGCGCCCAAACCGTGTGTCATCTGCGGCCTGAAGCGCGACGAGCGGGTGAGCAGGGTCGACTTCGACGTCGAGGACAGCTTTGGAGAGTGGTGGGTCGAGCACTGGGGTCACCGGGCCTGCAAGAATTTTTGGGTTGAGCACGAGAGGCAGCTGCGGCAAAGGTGAAGGGAAGGGAGGTGCTGCGATGATGGCGGGAGAACTATCCAAATTGTACATAGTGAACATATATGATACCTCGAGTGCTTTTCTTTGCACATATCGGGCGGTGAGTCCCACAGCGACTAGACATTTAAATTAGGTAACAGTACATCAATGGCTTCGGTTTATCGTTTTGCAGTCAGAGCTCCAAGTACCCCTCCTCCCTCTGGCTGGGTAAGTTGAGAAGAGCGTCGTTGTGATGAGACGGATGTTCCATGTCTTGTTTAGCTTCGATCGGATCAGATGGTTCCTGACCGATGGCGCAATCATCACATCGTGGATGGGGTGTGTGCTGCCTCGTGTTGCTTCAAGCGTGCTGGCCCTTGCTAACTCTAATCGACCAGTGCGCGCACATCTCTCATCCGCCGTCGCTTACAAGAACGAGAGACATAGGGTATCCTGGCTGCGCCGGATGTCGCGTGCCCAGGGCATCCGCGAGCTCTGTGCCCGATGAGTGTCACATGACGAGAGGCATTTGAGAGGCATATAAGGGCAGCCACTGATCAATAGAAGAGCCGTCGGACTATCTACCGCGGCGGGTATCTCCTTGCAGGCGATCCAGCGCTGTGAGGCGCACTCGGGCCGGGATAGGCGGAGGCTCGCCGAATGAGAGAAGACGGGACGGGCATTAGTGACGAAACTACTGCAACTCAGACGCTGAATGAGGGTTGCCAGAGAGGCAGCGTTCTCGTGGAGTCTTTGTCGGCATGCATAAACCCACCTGCCTTGAGCCGACCAATCCAGAATGCTTGCTAGGAATGGATTGTCTCGAATACTATTCGTAGGTCGCCCCATTTGCATTGTGTTTTCGGGACTGGAGGAGCTGCGACGGATGGCCGGAGGCTAGTGAGATGATAACGACGGCATCGTATGTGGCAGCCGGTCAGCGGGGGAGGCTGGAAGAGGAGGAGCACGTTGCGACCGTCCCCGCCAGATTGTGCTGTGCCATCGTATTACCCGCGCAATCCGAATAGCGGGAGATGCTGCAACATTGCGTTACAAAGCAGAGCAATTTTTCTTTCGTGTGTAGCAACAGTGGCCTATCCAAATCAGCATGTCAGATACGAAGACTGAAGCAATTGGGACAGTGAGACATCCTGAAGCAAGCCTACTACTATACGATCCGGCTCATAGCACGGACTGCCATGAAACTTATGATATGCCATCTTAACAGTTGATAGACGGTTTCTCTTGAGACCGGGACGAAGGAGAGGCTGGCCCTGTTGGTATTGTTTCGACAGACTGCCGGCCGCAACGATCGGCAGCCTATCAATATGACGAAGTTGACGGGAGCCAAACATTTCGTGGGGGGTATGTGTGTGGGTGTGTGTGTGTACTCTGCACCCGCGCTGGCTCAATACCATGACGCAAGCGCACACTCTAAGCAACGTGACGACCGGAGCGACGAAGGTCCCCTGATTGATCAAGCCGTCCGATCCGATGGGAATGTAAAATGCATAAGCCACGGACCACTGAGAGGAGAACTGGAGCTTCGGACGCTCGATGCGCTCGCTGCATTTCGAGCATGCAATAGGTTTTCGTGTTTGGGAGCTGCGAATGCGGAAGGGGTGTGAACTAGTCTGTACTCAAATACCGGCAGAGCCCGTTTGGTCGCATGCCGCCACGTCGCAAGATATGACTAGTTCGATTGGAAACTTGTTCGATCCAACAGGACACCTGAGGAAAAAAAAAGCCCCGATGCGGCCGCGTACCCAGGCACCATCAGATCCTGGTGAGATTGGTTATGCGCATCGAACTGAAGGAATCAACCCTGGAATGGGCGACGATCCGAGACGGCGGCGAATGCTTCTTCCCTGTTGTGTGGGCTAGCGGGGACCAGTCCGAGGGAGCTGTATTAATATAACAAGGGCAGAACTGTCCTGTACTATGTAGTCCAAGAGGCTGTCCGGAGACCCGACCCAGAGTTTACAGCCCACCATGATAGAGGGAGAGGTCGATGCCTTGATTTCAGGGAGGTATCGCGGTGTCTCGGTGGGTGGTCGAGACACAGAGAAACGACAGCTTGGAGGAACCTCAGGCGCAGCAACTTGGTGTCTTATCGGTAGGTCGGTGCAATAGGTAGTTTGAGGTCCCCTTCAAGAGAAAGAGAAATGAGCTCCCCGGGTGGATAGGAAGAAGCCCAGAGATAGTGGATTTAGGTAAGCTCCGTGTCGTGTGGAGGGAGGGGTCATGAGCGAGGTGCCATGTGCAGTGAAGCATGTGCCCAGGAGGAGGGGCGGGGTACTTGGGAATGTATTGTCCAGGCAAAACTACGCAGAAAAGGTACACGTGATCTGTTAGAGGGCGGAACTGTTGAAGTGATTAAGAGTAGTATTAAGGCGTCTGTTGCCCTGTGTAGTGATGTCCTCCCCCACAGTGAATTATTGCTGTACCTGCCTACATTACAATCTTTCTGCCCCTCATAGTATTTTAACCTCCTGTAGTAAAGCTGCTCCCCTAATTATCCCTCTGAAATACACTACACTTAACCACTACTACAGTACAAGCAACTACTATTTACTCAAGTACAGAGAGCACTTACCAGGGAACTACTACAAGCATCAAGCAAGCTACAGGTAGCAATTAGCTACCCCCCTCAGGTACCTAGGTACCTACCTGCCTTTATTAACTACATCACATACCTACCTACATCCTACACTTAAATCAGTACCTAGCTTTTCTCCTGTGACACTACATTTTAGTAAGTACCCTATACCTTTGCTTCCCCGCCCCAGCCCGGCAGCCAAAAGCCAGACAAGAAGGGGGGAAATACTAAGGCGCACTTTCCTGTTCCTGCCCGTCCCTTACAATTACAATTACCTACCGACTTTTCTCCTCCCAATTTCATCTCCCACTCTTCTTTTCGTCCTTCACCTCTTCACCTCACTCTCCACTCCACGACCTCACTTCTCCCCGCCCCCCAACTCTTCACTCTCCCAGAAAACCTCACTTCCGCCTCATCCTCTCTCTCCCTCTTTACCTCTCCCGCCCCATCGCATCTACCTCTCTGCCGAACTCTTCAACTTCACCCCCATCCCCCTCCTCTACCCCTCCATCAACCCAACTCCCGTGGTCCACCACCCACTTCAATCTACGACCTCCCCCGCGCGCACCTGGCTTGCGCCATCCGCACGCCCCCATCACATCACGACTCCAACCAGCCTGCCTTTTGGAGATTTTCGCAACTACTCCTCGGTTTTACTTACCGACAATCGCGCCAAACAGCCGGTTTCACATCTTCCACAACCTTTCTTGACTACCTCCCTCAGTAGTCATTATTTCAGCAAGACCTGCGCCTTCCCACTTAAAAGTCAGGAAACATCAAGGTAATGAACTGCTATCCCACAACTCCTTGTTAAATGCGCACACTGCACTGAAGACGCACTATGTGCTCTTCTATACTCTAGCGCGCATTACACCCACTGCGCCAGTTCAATCTGAACATTTTACACAAGGCAGTCAGGGTTGTCTCTGCATCAATCCTATCTAGGCACGGTGTAGAGCCGCTTATTTCTATGTTTTATTCAGATTGTGGTCGCATACACAACTTCTACAAGATCAGCATCTTACCCTTTCCCTTCCACGCTTGCTTCCGTTCTCAACCCGAAAAAAAAAATTAGTTTAATCATCACAAACGTCCCCTTTGCGTGTAAAAGCTAGCTAACCATGTTCCTTAGGTTCCTCAGCCTCTACCTTAAACCTTACCCACTTCGAAACCGAATCAATCAACATGTCTACCGAGCACATGTCCTCCAATGGCAACGACCTTGTTGGGTCCCCCGATCAGCTGAAGCTTGATGACGAGGTTAGGCTCGGCCCCGACGGAGAGCCCGCGCCCCGCACGGACGAGGAGTATGCTATGGCACAGCTTACCTTGAGAGCCATCGTCTCCTCCAAGGAGGCTGGTGTCATCATTGGCAAGGCGGGCAAGAACGTCGCCGATCTTCGCGACGAGACCGGTGTCAAGGCCGGTGTTAGCAAGGTGGTCCAGGGCGTTCATGACCGCGTCCTCACCATAACCGGCGGCTGCCAATCCGTCGCCGAGGCCTATGCCATTGTTGCCAAGGCTCTTCTCGAGGGAGCGCCCTCCATGGGCATGGGCGGCGTTGTCCAGAACAATGGCACTCACCGTATGTCTCCGTTATCAACAATGTTTCCTGACAAATGTAGCTAACGTCCTTGCCAAGCCATCAAGCTTCTCATCTCCCACAATCAGATGGGCACCATCATTGGCCGTCAGGGACTGAAGATCAAGCACATTCAGGACGTCTCGGGTGTCCGTATGGTCGCTCAGAAGGAGATGCTCCCTCAGTCTACTGAACGCATTGTTGAGGTTCAGGGCACTCCCGAGGGCATCAAGGGAGCCATTTGGGAAATCTGCAAGTGCCTCGTCGACGACTGGCAGAGGGGTACCGGAACCGTCCTGTACAACCCAGTCGTTCGCACCCAGCCTGGCACCACCTCGACCGCTGGTAGTGGCTCGACCCCGAATTACTCTTCTGGCGGTGGCCGCTCCAGCGACTATTCTGCGCCGCGCGTCATGCGCACCGGCAACGGTGCCGACTTTAGCGCCAGCAACACTAACAACAACAACAACAATGGCGGCGGTGGCCGTCCCTATGGCCGTCGCTCTGACTCAGACGCCGCTTCCCGCGGCCCACCCACCCACGATGAGAACGGCGAGGAGCTTCAGACCCAGAACATCAGCATTCCCGCCGACATGGTTGGCTGCATCATTGGCCGCGCCGGCAGCAAGATCTCGGAGATTCGCAAGACTTCTGGTGCACGCATTTCCATTGCCAAGGTAAATTGATCCAATTCCCTACATACACGTCCGCCCTGGCTAACTTTGCTAGGCCCCTCACGATGATACCGGCGAGCGCATGTTCACGATCATGGGAACCGCCAAGGCCAACGAGTCTGCCCTGTTCCTCTTGTACGAGAATCTCGAGGCCGAGAAGATGCGT